ATGGCTTTTTAAGGTGGAGGTCATGTGAAGGTTTTCTCTCAGGGGCAAGCTCTTCTGTTTGCTTCTGCTGGTGAACGTGGGGGACGGTTATTGAGAGAGGGCCTTGCTGCCAGGCAACTTGATCTTGAAGCAGAGGTGTGCTGCATCCTAAACGCCTTAAAATTTGAGGCCTCTTACATATACACACATTTTTATGTGTGTGTGTGTATATATATTTCTCCTAAGCGATCACCTGACTTCTTTCTGTGCCTTAGTGGAGCAATTTGGTCACTGGGTAGGCGGCAGAACCAGCATCCCAAATGGGTGCATTGGCAGGGAAGCAGAGAGGAGAGATCGCAGTGAGGAGGATTCAGGCTCAGTGCGTTTGCCAAGTGAGCTGGAAGGAACTGAGTTAGGGGTGTTTAAATCTCTTCCTTCTGTTTCTTTGACATCTCTGTTCTGCTCTCGCTCTGCTAGCTGGTCTGTGCCAGATTCAGAGGTCCTGAGGAGAAGACACGAGTTCAGCATAGTTGGAAACAGTCTGCAGCACTCCTAACTTAAAAAACTTTGCAAATGCTGTCTGTGAATGCTGCTTATTTCCTCATTGAGTGTCGAAATGAAGCATGTTGTGGCAGATAGCACTTGTTCAGGTTCAAGCAGTGGGTGAGCAGTGAAATGGGGTTTGACCTAGAATCTAGCTTCGGTGTGGCCTTAATTCTTGGCCTCATCTGGCAGCACAGGGTAAGGGCAGACAGCAGGAGGGGGCCCTGATGCCCTCCCCTTGTGCAGCCTTGTCTTCTGTGTTCCTCTGCCTGCCGCCCTGCTGCTGTTGCCTTTTGATAGACAGCATGATTAATTACACTGCTCACAGCCTCTGAAAATTTATTTAGGGTTTTATGCTGGCTGCTGCTTACACAATGGCAAATCTGCCGTGGCTGTGTCCCAAGCAGGTGGCAGCTAATAGGTCAATAAACTGAATCGCCCCATTAGAGCTGCTGAGCCGGGCTGCTGTGTTGCAGGCAGGTAGAGGGGAGAGCTGCCGTGCTGAGGAGAAGCCAGGACAGACCTGTTCTAGAAGAAATGTGTCTGGCCATACTGGTTTGTAGGAAATCAGTCACTTCCCTGATAGCATCCGCTGCTTTAATAGATCAATTTTTTCACTATAGCTTGTCTGTCTAAAACTTTCCTCTCCCTGCCTCCACTGCTATCCTATAAAATGGTCTAATAGGACCTTTTAATCTCTGAGAGCTTTGGAAATCTTTTTTTAGAGATTTTTATCGCCTTTTCCTTGGGTTGTACAAAGAAGAGAGGCTGGGAGATGGTCATCTGGGGGAAATAGAGAGCTTGGAACAACAAAAAAGCCCCTGAAAATGCTCCTAAAGTCGAACAGAAATCAGCCCAACTTGAAATAGTCAGCAGCCACACAATCAGATTACCCAATCATCTCTGCCTTTGAGCATTTTGAATCTCAGTGCTGCTGTCAAAGAATTGAAGGTGGCATGCCTTGAGCAGACAAAATGCTTGTACCTGCTTTTCAGAGGAGAAACTAAGGCAGGGCAATGGCAGAGGCAAGTGCAAACCGTGCAGTCCTGGCTGGGCTTCTGTCTAGATGTGACTCGGCTCCTGCTGTGTCCTGCTGGTTCATACACAGTGGGATTGAGTTTCTGATGACCTGGTGGAAAGTTACCTGCTAGTGGAAAATGGCATGAAGGAAGGGGAGTGTGAGCTGTGTTTCTGCATGGCTGTGCCAACAGGAAGGGATAAACCTGGTTTGCTTCACACAACGCTGTGGTCCTGGGGCTGTTCACTGCCCGCCCCTGCAGCATAGCACTGCAGTCAGTGACTTGCTTAAGCCTGCCCTGGGATGCTGGTGGGCTGTCAGTGGGATGCTGAGCCTTCACAGCCAGCAGGATCACCTGGTGTTGCTAAAGCTGCTCTATCTATTGAGAGATGTGCCAGGGTTGTCTGTGCTGCTCTCTCATGCCCTACATGCAGTGCCTCCAGCAGACTGCATCCTGACTGGGAAGGCAGTTCAGGTGTCCTGGCTCCTGTTTGCTCCATTACTGCCCTGCTGTTAGGTTTTAATATTTCTGCAGAGACAGTTTGTGTAAACTGAAGCGTGCTGCATTTGTTCAGTACAATTTTGTAGGTAGCTTATGCTGAGTGTCACCTTTCAGTGCACAGTGAGCAGTTCAGCCTAAAGAAACATCGCTGATGCCATTATCTCTGCTGCCAGTCCTGCCTGGTAAACCTGTTCCCTCCAGGATGGCCGAGACCAGGGTGCAAGCCACATCCCTCAGCACCTGTGCAGAGCTTGCACTCAGTAGCCACGTGCAGGTTCTCAATAACAGGCACTCAGAACACCCATGGCTGCTTAAAAACCACGGAATTAAGAGATGCCATGCAAGCAGTATTGGGGAACATGTTGTTTTCAGTGCTTTGGGGGTATGGGCTTCAAGTTGTCCCCGTTTTGGAGGAGTAGAAATTTTAATTTTGTGCTTTTAATTTTGTTCATTCCCTGTCCTGAGGCTGGACACCAAGCAATGCAAACATCAGCACTGAAACAGCGACTTGACAGGTTAGGATGTGACTGAGTGCAAGATTGCATTTCTGATCTGTGTCCCTGTAGGCGAGATCTTCTGGGATCTGGTGCCCTTCGTGAGAGATGGGTGCTGTCTTCCTCCCCCAGTAAAAAAGGCTGCTGGGCAGCAGCCTTTGGCCATGCTGCTGTGCTTGGCACATGGGTGCTTTCTTCAAATCCTCATCAGGAGCAGCACAGAGCTGGCTGCTGCGGGAGCTGGGAGCTCATCTCACCAGGCCAGCTGGCTGCGTGCTGCCTCTGACAAGCAGCGTTTCTCCTTCCTCCTGCCAAATTCCTAGTACCAATTTTTCCCCTCCATTTCAAGCACGAATGCTGCAAGGGGACATCTCTGCAGCCACCATACACTCCTGGAGGTGCAGATCACAGCAGGAGGCTTGCTGAGCTGTGACAGGCTGCCCCAGCTCTCCGAGCTGAACCCATCTCCTCGAGCTCTGCCTCTATTGCCTGCACAAGCTAATTTCTGTCTGGTGGCGATGCTGAGCTGTTCAAAATCACACAGCTGCTGTAGCTACAGCCTTGCCTGTGGCTTCCTTCTGGGAAAGAGCTTGCTTTTTACTTAAAGCTTACGGGAGGGAGCTGGTTGATTGCTAACAACTGCAACTGCTGCGTTAGCTCTAGCTAAAGGACAGAAGCAGTGGAATGTGGCTGCTCCTGGTTGGCAAAAAGCCCTCACCTCTGCCACTATCTCCAGACAGAAGGGGGCTGGCAGGGGCCATGCATCTCCTGGAGCAGGGGCTGCCTTCTGCAGGCAGTGGTGGGAGCAGAAAGCTGCATAACAGCTCTGTTTGGAGACCACGAGACTTTGGGGGAGAAAGTGACTTTTATAGAAATAAAGGAGACTTCCTTTTGGGTCAAGTGCTCTGGAAATGAATGGTTTTGAGATAAAAGCCTTTTTACTCAGGTAACGCAGATTCACATTGCCTAAAGGGAAGTCTGCCTTGTGCTGGGGTATTTTTCCCTCTGGAGGCATTGTGATTGCTTTTGAAGATGGGTTTTCAGTGCACAAAGGAGAAGAAAGCTGAGAGGAAGAAAGCTTTTAAAAATACCAGGGGTGCCAGTGGTCTGTTTCAATTTGTCAGCATGTCTCTCTTGCTCATAACGCCGCTGTTGGGTGCAGGGGCTGTTCCTCCTCCTCCTCCCTTCAGGACTTGCTCCTTCCCTCTGGCATCTTGATCAACGGAGTCTGGGTTTCTTTTTTGCCATTCCAGGGCAACCTCTTGCATCCAGGGCTGCTTTGCAGACGGGTGCTGTGCTGTGTTGGGTGGGATTGCCCCTGATGACCTCAGCCTGCTGTGTTGGAGCTGTACCCAGGGCAGGCCAGGTGCAAGGGAATGCGTGAGTAAAGCACCTTTCTGAAAGAGGTATGAAATGGACTCTTTTCCCATCAGTTTGATCTGAGGTATCTCTTGAAAATATGTCTTACCCCATGGCCTCAGGGTCCACAAGGGTGGTCCAGCTTTGCTAAGACTTCTGGAAGTATCACATTGTCACTTCCCCTTCTGCTAGTTTCTCCTGCCTTGCCCTGAAGGGATGAGACGTCTGCAGGACTCTGCTGCTGCTTAGTGTGAAATGCTGTAAAACCCAGGCATTGATTTCTCAATCAAAGGTGTCTGTTTGCTCCTTGGTCTGTGGCTTTAATGCCTGCAAATACATCTTTTGCTCCCTAACGGTTTGCTTTAAGATTTTGAAATTGACTGTTGTGCTTCGGAGACTGGGGAAGTGAACAGGTTCAATCAAGCCAGTATTATTAGTGCTGGCTCACAGAGGGGCTTGAGCCAGGCAGAAGCCTGGGTCACAGTGTCTGTCGTGTCTCAGGAGAGACCTTTACCTGTGTCTGGCCATGGTGTGGGGCTCCGTTGCTCTGCTGGTTCCTGGAAAGCTGTGGGTCCTTTTGTCCTGATGGTGAACCTGGGTCAGTGGTTGTGTGGTCTGAAGGCTGAAGTTGCAGCTTAACCTATGAACAGACGCCAGACAAACCTGTAGACATTAAAATGAACAAAATTCCACCAAATTTCCATCCGCACTTCTCATTTTCATAGGAGCTGTGTGTGTTTCTTGTTTCCAGAACGCTGTGGTTTTGTTGTTCTGGAGGTGCAGTGATGATGATGCAAGCCTTGCTGAAACGGAGCTGCTTCTGTGGAGAAATACAAGAGCTGAAAGTAGAAAGGATTCCTACCTCCCAGGGCTGCTGTTCTGCAGGGATGACTGGTGTGACCTAAGCTGGGACTGTCACATTGCCTGGGCTCCAACTGCTGCCACTGGTTGCCCTCAGTTTCCCACTGTTTAAAGGGGTGACGTGGAAAACCCTTTCCAAAGACCAGAGATGGAGATGCTCAGCTGGATGGGGAGGGATGTTAGCAGCAGGAGCAGAGTGGAGCAAAGGAGGAGGGATGCTGAAATGCAGGTGACTCTTAGCACTAATTGTATGCAGCAGAGCTGTCTGGGGGGAGGCTGAAGGAAGCATATCAAGAATGTCTCAGCTATTCAAGTGAGAAATCAAATTAAACCTTGTATCAAATAGTAGAGCTGTTCTGTGCTAGGAGTTATGTCAAATTCATTAAAGGTTTCTACACACCAGTCCCCCCAGGAGTTAGCAAAGAGAAAAAACAACACTTTGTGTCAGGGTGCTGTGCTTTCCTGCTTACCTGGATATGTTAATGATGTGGGTAGAGGAAGGGAGGATTATCGATTTAACCCTCAAGATACAGGTGAAGGGAGCTGGGACTCCACAGCAATGCTGTTTGTGTGCTGCTGTCAGTGTCTGTCCATGTGTCTGTGCTGCATGGTGGAGGGTGAGAGCCAGGGACTAAAGCTGCAGCAGGCTGGAGGTGTGGAAGCTGCTCTTGTTCCCAGTCTCCTGCTAACAGGCTGGGAGGTGGAGTCACTTGGATACCCAGCATGTCTGTGAGTAGCCTGGAGGAGATGGAAATACCACCATCGTGCAGTGCAGCCAGACTTGCTTCTCATTGGGCATGAGTCCATGCTTGTTCCAGGCAAGGAAAAGCTCTGGACAACGCATTGCTCCCTCCATGGGGACAGATTGTATGGGGGCTGGATGGAGCACAGGCTTGGCAGGAGAGAGCCTAGAGCTGGGATGAGCTGCCAGTGCAGTGGCAGAAGAGTCTGCTGGGAACGTGTGATCTGCAGCATGCCACGGGACTTCAGCTGCAGGGTGAGCTCCCAGAGTTGCACAGCACAGGCTCTGCAAAATCCCAGGGGTTCAGCTTGTAGCTGCTTCTCACGGGGCAGTGAGGCACTCTGGAGAGCTGGCAGCTGTCTGGAGGTGAGGAATGCTGAGCTTCATCCACTGCAAATGCTGAATGCCAAAGCCATCTCAAGCTGATGTGCTGAGGCCCAGGCTCTGCTAACACTATCTAATTTTTTTTATCATCCCTGATGCGTGTTGTGCTTTGACTTAGATGCACTCAAGTGTGGGTTTGATATTTAAAAGTCATTTACAGTACTGCTGCTGTGCTGGCAGGAGAAATTAGTCTGACCCTGGGATGTACAAATCCTCATTTTGGAGCAGAGCAACCTGAGACAGGCAAGGCTGAGTCTGCTCAGGTGCTGTGCCTACTGTTAGCTCTGCACCAGGGCTCTGCAGCCAGCTCGTTGCCTTTCCTCCCTTTTCTTTTTGTTAACTTGTAAGAATTTTTATTTTTAAGTCAAATTTAAGATGCTAAACCTCAATTAAGGCTACGTGTATTCATTTCCAAGATGTAATTTGTTTACAGAACATTCCCATTCACAGCAGTGAGCGCTGATAATTGCCATGGTTTGCTTTCCAGCCTTGGATTTGATACAGCTGAGAGCACGTGAAGGTGGCTCCCAGGTGGGCAGTGTTGGCTCCTGGGTGGGAACATGAGGAGCTTACCTAGGAGCTGATTCTGACCTGGGCACTTCTGCTTTTGCCCAAAGCAGTTCTTGTCCTGGGGTCTGGGAATGAGCCTGGCTGTGCTTGTTCCCTCTTTTGTCTGTCCTGTGATACCCTTTGTTATTTCTGCCCCCAGCATGATCTGTAGGCATCCTCATCCTGCCCCAGTATTCCTGCAAGGCCGAACAAACTGCAGTGTGTGTGCTCCTGGAGACAGAGCTGCAGAAAATCAATGGGGCTAGAAGAGAATGAGGCAGTACGTGCTTGTCCTTCGAGCTGCCAGCAGAGGGGATGGCATCTTTGCAGCATGATGGCTCATGGCTATTTTTTTTCCTCTGGCAGGAGCTATTGCTCTGAGCTGCAGAGATGCTGTACTGAAGCTTTGACATGCTGAGCTCTGTGTCCAATTCCTTCGAAGTACGCTGTTCCATCTACCTTTGAGATGCCAGCTTCTCTAGGGTGAGGTGGGCTGTGCAGCAGAGCTGTCCCTGCTCACACTGTAATCCTCAGCTGTCAGTGTCTTGGATGAGTTCTTGGAGGGTATCCAGACAAACACAGGAGAGATTTCAACTGCTGCGATCCCCTGTCCTATTTTATCTCATTTCTGACAGCCCAAGTCTGCTGAGGTTGGGAAGTGGTGAAAAGAGGAGAGCAGCTTCCTGCATTTGTGGATGAAGAAGCACTCCTTGCTCTGACAGCCTGCTTGCTTCTGCTGTTTCCCGCACTACTGACGGACTGTCTCTTGCCTTCCAGACTAGCTGCATCTTCAGGAGAATGTCCCAGATGGCTCTTTAGGGAAAGAAATCAGAGACTGATCGGTGGCCAAAAAAAGTCTCTCATCTAGTATCAAAGCCTTAGCTGCACCTTATGCTTCCCAAGGACAGCTTGGAAAGGGCGCAGTGGAGCTGCTGCTGTTCCTCTTGCAGGGTGAGTGAGTCTGCACAGGACCTGTGATAAGATCCTTGCCTTGGTCAGGCTGGAACAGCTGCTGCAACCTTTCACGCAGTGCTGGCCTTCTGTGGTCTCTCATACCCAGCCCAGTCTGCTAATAAAGCAGTTCTAAACAATGGATTTCACCATTGCCTCCATTTGGGTTTGATCTGTCATGCCTGTCTGTAGGCACAGGCAGCATTCAGCGCTCCCAGGAATGGGTGGGTGTTCAGGCTGGATTTCTTGGCCATCTGCTGTGCTGCTGGGCCATTTGTTACCCAGGCCCTTGCAGGGGCCTTGATCTGATGCTGCAGAAAACTCTGCTCTGTGGGGAGATTCAGTCTAATTTCTGGGAGCTTGCTGGCAGCTGGGGAGGGAACTGTGTGGGTGGGTGGGAGCCCTGGCTTTTCCAAGTGCCTGAAAACTGAATTTGGATTGCTGCCTGCCTATCGCTTCCTCTTGAATGGGTGAGAGGAGGCATTGCTCTGGTCCAGGTGTTGATAGAGAACCATGACCTGCTTGTGCCCCGGCTGCGCATGCCAGATTGCTCCCGGAGGACTCCTGCCTTCCCTCCCTGAGCTGGAACTCCTCCTGGTGCATCTGGTGGTGCCTCGTGACATGGGGACCATGGATTGAGAGGAATGACTTCTCTCTGTGGCTGCTCTGTGGAGCAAGAATCCGGCCCGGAGCATTGCCTGGCCTTTGCGGGGCTGATGTTCAGCAGTTGAGCTTGGCAGCTCCAGAAATTGAAATGCAAATGAGACAGAGAGCTGAGGGGCAAAGGAGCTGCTGGCTTTTTTGATGCTGACCTCCACTGTCGAGAGGAGAATAGCAGTCTTGGTGTTGCTTGTGTTCTTCTTCCTGCCTTAGCCTGGGCCATGCACTGCCAAGATAAAGGAATGCAATTTCCTCTGCTTGTGTCAAGATCTTATTAAGCATTTCCATAAAGCAAATAGGGAGGGGACAGCCCAAGCCTTAGACAGTCACTGCAGTCACTGCACAGCACTCTAACCCAGGCAGCCCTCAGGGAACACAGGCTTGCTGGCAGCAGGAACACTGCCACACTGCTGGGAAGCTGCACAAGAGCACAAGGCCCTTCTCCAGCCTTTCTGCTGCTGGACGTATGGGTGGATGGGGAAGCAGATTTCACCGATACAGATGATCCCTGCTTCAGGCTGTGAGGAACTGCCCTTGCTCCTCGTTTAACAGGAAGGGAAGCCAACCATCTCTTCCCCATGGCATGCAGGTGGCTGTGCCCTCCATGTGCGGGTTCTGTTGGGGCTGCAGGTGGCACATGGAGCTGGCTCAGGGGATGCTGCCAGGTCTCTGAGGTGAGCTGAAGGTGTTCAGGGGGTCTGCTGTGGCCAAGCCTTGCCCTGTGCTTGCTCCCTGTGAATGAAGTCAGGGAGGGTGCAGCAAAGCCAGGAAAACCCCCATGCTGTTAGGAAAAGGCACTGTCTGGAAACCATCCCACGTGCTGGAGAAGCCTGGCTTTCTGACAGAAGCGTGCTGTAGATAAAGTGCTTTTGTTGGCTTGTTAGATCTATTATTCATGCCTTTATGTACATAGCAGACCTAGAGAGGCCGGCTGTGGCCTCCAGCCCAGCCCTTAGCGCAAAGGGGACAGCGGAGCCTGGCAGCAGCAGCGAGCGGCTCCTCAGCCCTCCATCTCGGCACTAATCCCATTCAGCCTCCATCCTGCGCTTCCCCCTGCTGAGGCTGAGAGGCTCCGTTAGGGCCGAGCAGATTAGCCGTCCCCTCGGGAGCAGCTCGCTCAGCTTGCACTGAGATAACGGGGCCGCGTCCTCCAGGCTGCTGGGCTCCTCGGCAGCTGGCGGAGCTGTGATTAGCCTCAATTTATGCAGGCTGTTAAACAAACACCTGCAAGGTTCAGGGACGGGGAAGCCAAGCTGTTTTTGCAAGCGGCTGGTCGTGTTGTGTTAAAGTGAGAGTGCTGTCCTTTCCTCATTGCGCTCCTGGAGCTCCCGGCCATCCCCAGCCCTGGTGGAACTGACAGAGCTGGCTGTGCTGGGTTGATTGCAGTAGGGACAAACACAGTTGGGTCTTCCAGGGCTGCTGCTGTAGCCGACAATTTCTAAACTTGTTCTGCTCTTATTGCGTTCTGTGTTGTTCGCTTGCCCCTAATCCCCGGCAATGGAGCTGCTGTTATCATCAGCAGTGCAATAGGTAGCGTGGCAGGGGCAGAGCGATGTCAACATCTATTGAAGTGCTGGTAAAAGGGCTTAATGTGGAGAAAAGGAAATCTTGTTCCTCCTGAGACCTCACTGGAGCATTTTGTCTAATTAACCTCAGAGGTGATCGCTTATAGCAGAGTGGTGTGCCAGCAAAGAGTCCAAAAATAGGCTCTATCCAAGCACAGCTCAAAGGCACGTGGCTCTCCCTTTGTAAAGCTTGGCGAGACCTGCTGTGGAGTGGGGCTAGAGCTGAACATGGCTGGACTATTATTATCTGCCTGGAAGTTGGACTGAAATTGCAGGGGCATTGTTCTGCATCCTATATGGATGTGGATGCATGCACTCATACTGTGCACAGTGCTGGAAAAGAGATCCTGTGTTACACCCATGAGCTCCCAGCTTGGAGAGAATGCCTGCCTCTTCCTTTCTCCCAGAGGAGATGCTGCCGAATGGCTGCTTTTACCAACTCACTTGTTCCTGCTGGGTGGTTTGGGAATGGTGCAGCAGAGCCAGGCGCCAGCTGCAGCAGTGCCACCTCCTCCATTTGCTGCATGCTCATGTGTGGGATGTGCATGGATTTCTTCTTCCCTGGGCACTTCTATCAGGTTCTGAGGGAATTCTTTCAGTGATCTTTTCTGTGTTTTTTTCTTGGCGTTTCTTTTTTTCACTTTCACAGGTATCTAGAGAAAATCCTGTGTTTCCAGATAAGGATGTGCTGGATTTACAGTTGCCTACCATTGTTAATGCATCCTTGTCTGTGTGGTCATGTGAAGGTAAGATCTGCAGTAACCACATCACCTGCTGTTCTTCTTTTCCATGCTGCTCCAGGATGTTCTCCCTACATTGTATTTTTGCAGTCATTGTACTAAGCCTTTTTCATACAGAGGAGGAAAATTGAGGCAGCTCTGCAATTTACCAAGCAACCCACTGGGGAGCAGAGCCTTGTGGCAGCAGTGTGGCAGTGGCTTTGGATGGCAGCGGGTTTGGGGTTGGGATTGGAGGAGGAGAGCATCTCCTGGCCACTCCTGCTGCAAAAGGGGTGCAGAGCTGCTCGTGTCCAGCAGGACACAAGAAAAGGACAAGCTGTGCATAACGCTGTACTGCATGTGGTGGAGATCAGTGGGTGGTTTTACCCAAAGAGGGCAGTGCCGTGCCACGTTCCTCCCCAGTTTGTAAGGCGAGAGCAGTGAGCATCAAGGATTTCTTGAGGGGAAAATCACCGTGGCTCATGATGAGGCAGTTGTTTTCCAGACGTGTAGCAATTACTTCAAAACAAAACCAAAGCAGAAACAACAACAGCAGAAAACCTTGCAAGTAACTGTCACACAAATGCCAGTTCTGTCTTCTGACAAGCCGCTTTTCTCACCAGCTTAGGCAAAAGTACACAGCCATCATGCTGCCCAGCTTTAAAGCACTTCTCCTATCTGTATTCCTGCCCTGACTCACTGCAAGGACAGCTGTGAGCTCTCCTCCCTGTTGGAGGACATCCCCCCCTTAGTTCCCCTGGAGCTGTTGGTCCCCATTTCTGTCTCTAGCAGCTTTCCCATCACCCCACCCCAGGACTGTTTCTGCAGGGAAATGCTGCAGAATGTTGGAAATTTGGCTTACCTTAGGACAAAGAGCTGAGCAGCTATTTACCAGTTGGCATGCTGCTGTCGGAAGTGGGAACTGAGCCCCTTTCTCTATAGGGAGGAGGAGGGGTCCCACAGGCACTGCTGGGTGCTGTGAGTTGCACTCATACTGCATGCTTGCCCTTTGGGGATATATGGGAACAGAGAGGCTTTGCTGTCTGTGAAAGGAAAGACTTCAAACAGCAACGAGTCAACGCTGCCATTTCGAGAGGAACAGCTCTTGCCATGCTGGGCAATTGGCTGAAAGAGGTGAATAGGGCTTTCCTTAGGGGTTAAAAGCTCTAGCTCTGGTTAGGTATATTCATGTAGGCTTTTTCCCTTTTGAAGAAGGCAGATGAAAAGGGCTCTGACTCCTTTAAATAGATCTACACTTCCTCCACCAGCCAGGAGCTCTATTAGGATTGCTTGCTGCTCCTTTCCGCCCAGCAAGGACAGCTGCCAGCTTAACTCTTAGCCCTCACATTAGGAGCCGAGGGGCTGAAATGAAGAGCTTTTTCCCTCGGCAGCTATCGAGAGGAAGAAGTTTGCTGCTGCTTGCTGCTTCGTATTTGTTCTGTTAGCCAAAGCACAGAAGCACGCGTGGGTGCGAAGTACAGCTGGTGCTTGGAAGGCCCTGGGTTGCTGGAGGGGCACAGAGGGTCCTGGGAGCATCGCCTCTGAGCAGGCTCCAGCTGGCTCTGAGCGTGGTGCCTGGATGTCGGTGCTTACCCCACAACTCCTGCTGCCTTCCGTGGCTTTCGGGCATCGATGTGAGCAAGTGCTGCTGCCAGCTCGGAGCTGCTGCCCTGGCTTAACGTGGGAAGGCAGGAGCATCTGTCCCCCACTGCTTTCCTATTAGCGGGCTGCTATAAGGCAAAAAGCCATCTGCCTGCAGAGGTTGGGGTCTGTGATATTTGCTAACCCAGGAAAACACTGCTACAGGAAGGCGGTCAGGCATGAAGGATGAGAGATCCTCTTTTCTCAGAGTTCACTGAAATGGGAATTTCCTGCAGGTTGCTTTCCCATTGACCAGAGGGAGATCAGACCCATGGTTCATCTGTACACCCTTCTTAGAGCTGCTGAAGAAACTCAAAATGGGGTGATGGCCCCATGTTCCTTCCTGGACCGTGCTCTTTCTCAAGGTTAGTGCTACTAGCTAGGGCCTTGTTTTCACAGGCAGCCTCTAGTGCCAGGTTCTTGCTGATCTTGCTAAGCACTTTTGCTCCTGAGGACATCTGCAGCTGGTTCAGAAAGGTTTCCACAAAGCACAGTCATTTATTGTGAGCCAGCATTTGCAGAGTAATCCCATACAAGTCATTAGCTGGGTTGCTGGAGCTTGTCCTGGGATCTGCCCAGGGAATCCCAGAGCTGCCTGGGGCTGAGTTGTACCTCAGCTCTGTGCTGAGAGCCTGACCTGGCCCATGGTAGGGCAGCCCTGGCAACGTTGGTGTGCTTCCTCCCATGATTCTATTTAAATTCTGCTGTCTCTCCTTTGTCAAAATGGTGTAGCCAGCTAATATCCTGATACAAAGGGTGCACCCCCCCTTTGCCATGCCATCTATCTGGTGATAGCAAGGGCAAGAGCATCACATTCTGGATGTTCATAAATTATAAGGGAAACTGCTTTCTTCCTTCACCCTTTGAACTCTTTTTCATTCCTTCATTGTGTTAATTAATACGTTGTTTAAGCTGTATGTCAGTCCCTGTTCTTGCTTGCTGTAGATGAGGCTGACTTGTCAGCGCTTGGCCTCCTTTTCCCATCAGCTCGAGTGGAGCTGTTACATGTTAGTTCTCCAACAGCACTTTGATTACCTCTCATAACACAACACTGTCAATGCAGACTGACCAATACAGCAGTTCAATGAGTGTGTTGCTCTTGACAAGCCTTATTTGCCCTGGATAAGTCAGGTAGAATATCTTCAGCTGCAGGTAATAGGCAGCAACATCCTCTCTGTGTGTTATCTGAAGGTTTCCCAATCTCTCTTTCACCCGAAGGGGCTTCCTTGTCTCCACTGCAGCAAGATGCAGAGCCTGAACTAACTCTGAGCAAGGAACTGTGGAGTCCAGGAACAGCAGATCTGCTTTAAGTGAGGCTCTTGCCCTGGGTAATCATCCCATCTTGAGAAACACAACATACTATCTTAGACTTCTCCCCAAGGTGTGTTGACCAACGTGCATTTGATGTCAAGGAGCTGCCCTGGCAGTGTGTGGGCCATCATCCTCAGCAGGGAACCAGAGACAGCAATCACTGCTAAGTGTTAGATGATAGCATGTTTTGCTGGCTGCTTTGATGCATTATGTTTTCCACCATCTGTATTTGCACTGTGTTGGAGGCTTGCTTGCCCTGCTAGGGCTGGGCTGCGATCCCTCCAGCACTGTGAGCAGCCAAGTGTGGTGTTTAGAGGGTGGAGAGGAGATGGCAAGCTTTCTTTCAGCAGTTACTTTGCTATGCTGATGCCTTGTCTCCCCACACTTGCTCATTTCTTCAAATATTGCTGCTCTCAATGAACTCTTAGCAGCTGTTAGTCCCGGTTCCTGAAGTGATGTGCAATTCTGAGCTCCCTGCTGTGGTTGGGATGGTCCTTGTGCTGACGCTGCTGACTGCTCCCTGCTCCAGTAATTGGCCTGTTGTGCTTTTTCAGCCTGCAAAGCCTCCTTCCCAAATGCTCCTGAAGAGCTTCCTTTTGGAGCAGAGCTGCAGGAGACAAAACAATCTCTGCTCTTGCAGAAAGAAGCTTGTATACCTGGATCTCTCCCCTCAGCCACTGCTGCCCTGGATGGTGTTTGTTGGCAGGCTTTGCTCCCAGTGCTCCTGCTTACCTCGTGCTCTCCCAAGAGGAACAAGTTTCACATGATGGCTTTGGAAATAAGTCAGGGCATGTGCCTTGGGCAGCACAAAAGGAACTGGAAACCTGAGCTTTGTTTGCATGCACGTTGTTCCTGGTGTTGGCAGGGATGAACCCTGGCTCCATGCAGCTGCTGTGACTGGTTTACTGGGCACGGCATGAGATCCCTCCTCCTTGAAGGACATTCACTGTTTTTTGAAGCCATGACTGCCAGCAGAGGTAAGATTCACGCTTTCTGAGAGCAGCAAGCTTTTTGTGTTTGTCTCCCAGCTCGGGTGAGCAGTTCTGCAGGAGGGCAAGGAGGGGAGCTGCACGCAATTACCTGCAAACACTGGAGAGCGGTCAGAGGTCCCACTATCAGCCATGGCCCAGATGTACTGAGTGAGCCTGCTCCCAGCATCCTTGGCTCCTGCAGATGCACGTGAGCCAGGCTGGCTGTGTGCTGCAGGTGGAGGAGAAAAGAAGCCTTTCATCTGCTCGCACAGAGCAGGCTGGCAGCCAGCTCATGCCTGCTGTTTGGTTCCCTCTGCCACAGCCGGAGTAGGGAGGTGGGAGCTGAGCAGCTGTGCCCCTCCTCAGGGATCAGCCCAGGGTGAGAAATGTTAGGGGGATGGACTCTGCTCCCTGTGTTAGCAATCAGATTGCTGCTGCAGGGTTATCTGTCAGCACTGCCTTGGGGTCACAGAGTCACACAGGAGTCCCTCCTGGAGGCACTCCCATGAGCCAGGTGAAAGCTAGCTGATTTATCAGGTGCTCTCTGTGCTATGCACCCTTCCCAGTGTCCTTGGGATATGTGAGCCTGGATTCAGGCCCTTCTCCTGCCCTTCACAAGGTGTCTCTCCTTCCTACATTGACACCCTCACTCCCCGCCGCTGCGGCAACATCCTCCCATGTTGCTGTCTCAGCTGTACTGGCTCTGCCAGAGCCGTGCCTCTCCTCCTCCCTGCCCACCATGCCGTGCCAGCGAGCCCAAACCTACTGTGCTGGTCACCTGATTTGTTTTGGTTCATGTTCCAGCTGAGGATAAAGTTGCAGATATTTCTGTGCAGCGATAGGATCTCAACAGCCAGCCTTGCTTTAATGTGATCCCAGGCATTCGAGGTGCCCCATTACCTTATCTCCCCTCTGCAGATATCTGTTACTCACCACTCTCACCCTAAAAGCGAGCCAGCCTGGGAGGGAACTGCAGAAGCTCAGCCTCTGCAACCCTGCTGTTGGGCAGAAAGCAGTAAGTGAGGCTCCCATCCTGCTTTTTCTGCACAAGGTTCCCTTCTTTCTGCTTGCAGCGCTGTGTGGTGCAGTGGGGTGGCTGGGAAGGCTGCGTCACAGCTGACTCACACTGCTGGTAAGGTGGAAACCCCACGCATTGGTTCCCACCCAGCTCCCCAGGGGCACCTGTTTGCTCTCTGGCTTTGCAGTTCAGCAGTCCCTGAGATGAACCTGATATTGCTGCATGCAGGGCCAGTGAGGCTGTCCCTCGTCCCAGCCTTACCAGCTGCATCTTGCTGCTCTCCCGTTGTCACATGAGCATTACACCATCTCTCCCGTGGAGAATGAGTGTGGAAAGTGCCTGGTTGCCAGAGCAAAGTGAAATCTGCTCCAGCTTCAAACGCACGCAACCCCAATCTGTGCACTTTGGGTAAATGCTAAATTCTATCTCTGGTTCATGAAGAGGAGAGGCTGATGCTTAAGTGAGGCATGGGCACCAAACACCCAAGCTTCTGCAGCTCTCAGGTCTCCTGAAAGTTCCTTGATGCAAAGAGAAACGTTCCCAGCCTGTGTGAGTCATAGGGCATTAGGTGGGCTGGGTCAGCTCTGAGCAACACTCAGATATAAAGGTGAGAATTGTTCTATTGAATGGCCAAAAAGCTGCTGGTGGCAGAACGGCCTCTGTGAGCAGGCAGTGCAGAAAAATAAGAGGAAAATGGAAGGGGGTGTGGGGAGATGGAAATCAACAGCTCAACAGCAGTTCATCCAATACAGATCCTTGAAAATACAGGAATTTTGAAGGGAGGTAAAAAGATGTGATGAGAAACTACATGGGAATTTCTAGCAGTGAGGAGGAGGAACTGAATTCTAGCATATTGAGAGGGGTGGAAAAAAAGAGTCAAAAAGCTCTTAGCTACAGGAATTGGGAGAGCAGAGTGCATGTTTTTGTAGTCTGGATGGGGCTGATGCCATTCCCATGTGATGTGCACGGATCTGTTTCTATTCCTGCAGTGCTGGGCGGCTCAGGGTGAGCAGTGCAGGAGCTCTGGGTCACCCCATTGCCTGTGCTCAGGTCCTGAGCTGCAGGCAGCACAGCTCAGCTGCCCACCAGCTCCGTGCTCCTGGAAGATGGTCGATGGAGGTTCGTTGTGGGGTTATGTAATGATTGACCTCGTGGAAACGGGTCTTAGGAAAGCATGGAATCAGCTTAGCTTGCGGACGGCTCAAGCTGCGATGTGGGAGATGCTATCATTGCTGTTAGGAATTTATGCTTTTGTACAGTTGGGAAGCATTTGACTCCACCTCATTGTGTCCTGGCTAGAGAAACAGGCCTGGGTCACAGCTTTCCTTGGACCATGCTGAGCTGTGTGCCAGCAACTGGCTGACTCACAGAGCTGCTCCAGGTCTGCCCACGGCCGTGCAGCTGGAGCCATCGTGCCTGTCTCTGCTATAGGAGCCCCCTGTGCAGGAGCTGAAGGGAGGAGAGGCAGCGCTCTGCGATCCTTCTGAGCAGCACAGATGAACCCACACCTAATTGCTTTTAAAAACCCCCTGTTGCTATGGTGACTCAACAAGCGTGATGCTCACAAGTTCTTCTCTCCACTCCCAGGTCTTGCGTTGGCACTGGGAAGCCTTGTGTGTACCTATGTACGTACATCTGCTTTCTTCCAGCTTTCAAAGGTGGCATGCAGTCCCCTTGGAGCGTGAGCAGAATCCCTTCTGAGCTGGGAAAAGATTTGCTTGAAAGGTCTTGTAATAAGGTTAAGGAGAGGCCAACAGCCGCTCGCCCTGCTGCTGAGCACTTCAGTAGCTAAATTTAGTCCCTTGAGTCATTACTGAGTCAGCAAATTGGGGGCAGGAAATCTTGATTTCTCTTTTCTTCCTTTTTCATCAGTGATGTACCCAAGACGGGCTCCAGACTGGTTTCCCTCTCAATCCAGCACGCTGCCTGCCTGCAGTGCTTTCCCCTGGAGCATCCTTGAGCCTGTCCAGAAAAAGTAAGAGCTCAGTTCCTCTCTGCTGCAGCCACCTGCCGTGACAAGTGGCCTGTCCTCGGGGAAGCAGCATCGTTTCCTATCATTAGTGATGCGGGGCATGGGAAGCTGTGTCCAGTCAGCTTTGTCTCTTGCTGGGTGCATGCTGGCCTGTGGCAGCTCATGCATCCCCTGGAGCTGCCTTGAAACCCACTGATGGGTAAAGAAACCCCATCCAGCTGCTCTTCTGTGTGCCTGGGAGTGCCTCAGCATGGTGAATAGCCACAAAAGAGCTCAGAAGACACAAGCATGAATGGTACGAATGAGTGGTGTCAAGAGATCCAGACATGCTACACTGACAGACCTGTGCAGCAGCCCTGCTGAGTTCAGACTGGTCTATCCCTCGCTGCCCTGCTGGCCAAGGGGCACCCAGCAGGGATATGGCCTGGCAGATAGATGCCTGCAGGTAGCTGGCTCCTTCCATACGTGCTTCGGGGTTGCCAGGAGACTGTGAGACCCTGGGCTGGAGCAGATCAGCAGGTTGTCCAGGCAGCTCAGTATTGCCCCTGGAAAGCAAGTTCTGGCAGCAGAGCCCCTGTTGCTAGCTGATGGTATCAGTTTGTATTAGATCCCACTGAGTGTATTTTACATAATTTGTTTCCCAGAATGAAGTGTTTTTACAAACGCAGCATTTAAGCACCTTTTAAAAAGGAATGAAAAATCACCTACCTCCCTGGAGCTAGGAAAAAAGCTTAAAAGGAATCAGGAAAGTGCTCTCCCTACAGCACTCACTGGGCTGGGAAGCCCAGAAAACCTGGGGTTGGACTGGAAAAAATCTGAGGGCTCAAAGAGAAGAGCCTGTGCTGAGAACACTGCTGCTGCCTTCACTGCTGTTTCTGGTCGGGACACCCAAAAGCAGGAATTGCTTCGGGTCCCTCTGCAGGAGAAGGGAGCACCACCAGGGTCCGGGTTGCTGAAGGGATGCTCACAGGCCACACTGCTGCTCAGCACCTGGAGATAAATCAGTGCTTGCTGGACGATGAAGGGCAAAGCGGTGCTCCTTGCCCTGCTGTGGCTGCTGAGGATGGATGCTGTGCAGCTGGCTGTGCACTGCGGCCCGGGCTGGGGGCTGCCACTCTCACTCTCATTTCTTTTTTCACGGCAAGCGAAGGATGAAAAATCAGAGTAATGGCCAAGGAGACAACATCCACTTGGCTTCTCTTGCCCGTGGTGTGAGCGATTTATCTAGCTAAGGCATTGCAGTGGAGTGAGACCAGGAGCAAGGGGACGGCGCTGCAGCGGCAGCATCAAGGTGTGCTACCCCCCTCTGTGCTGCCTTTGATTTGCTTCCAGGAGGGAACTCTGCTCCCCATTCCAAGCAGGCCCGGTGCTGGCTGGCAGAGCAGCGGGAGCCCTGCTGTAACTAATGAGATGTTTGCTTCTCGCTGCCTGACGCTGCGGTGGGTTCTCGGTGTGCCTGAGCCCTGTGCTGATAAACCAAGCCTCCCGGAGATGGAGCGGCTTCCCTCAGCTACAGGCCTGCTGTGTTCACTCTTATCTAATAGGATCTTTCCTCTGAGCTCTGCTTAAGCCTCCTGTGTAGCATACCAAACCACTGAGGTTTGATCGTACAGAGAAGCGGCGCAGAGTGAGAGCAGACCTGAGTGTCAGCTGCCCTCCTTTGGGTCACTGTTGAACAGGACACACGCTCATGGGGGGTCTGTGGGTTCCCTGTGGCTCTGGAAGGTTCGGAGAAGGGAGCTTTTCCCCCAGCCAAACATTTATCCCCTCCTTGCTGCCATTGCTGATTAGGGGATGGGTGTCTGTCTGTCTCTCCCCTGTTATTTATTATGCTGTAAAAGCCAAGGTAACCCATATCAGTAAACGCTGTGAAGGGTTTCACACGTGTCAGCTGTGCGTACTTTATGGAGCAGACACTCTTTCAAGACAACAGGCTCTGTGTGGGGAGGCTGCTGTGATTAATGCTGCAGCGTTCACCTGGCTGCTTCCTCCCTGCTGCCACACTGAGCTGATGTCCCAGGGTGCCCCGAAAATGTGCATGAAGCAGCGTGGCACAGAGGGGAGGGAAAGGCTCTGTGCCTCCCGTTGGCAGGAAGATGAGCAAAGCACACAAGGAGAAGTTTCTTCTCCAAAAAAGCAGCAATGCAGTGGCACAGCTGCCCAGGGAGTGCTGGGCTCACTGTCCCTGCAGGAGCTCCAGAGCTGTAGGGATTTGGCACTGAGGGATATGGGCATGGTGGGGTGGGCTGGGGATGCTGGAAATTTGTTTTGGAGACGTTCAGACCCTTTCCTGTAGGCACCTGCCTGTTGCAAGAGACGTCCTCCATCTGCGTGAGTTACTCTGGGCAGATCCAGCTCTCCTGCAGGATGCTCTCAGTAGTTGCTCTTGGCTGGTTCTGAGGCTTCCTTTCTCCCAACACTTGTAGGTGATTGCTTCCTCCTTCTCCTCCGCCTTCCTTTTGTCTCTCTGCAGCACGACAGGTCTGGGAAGGGCCATCTGCCGCTGTGATTAATGGCCCTTTTCTGGCAAAACAACAGAGACAAATGTCCTTCTGAGCATGGCAGAAAGAAGCGCAGAAACAAGCTGGCTAATTTTCAGCCATTATTTTGGAACCCAAACTCCTTCCCGGTATCAATTTAGCTATTATTTCAAAAACTAATTAATCCTCACTCATGCAGCTCCGAGGGACCAGTGTTTAGATAATTAACAGCCCGTGGATTATGACAAGCCTTGCTCTCGGATCCTGTTACAGCGCTTGCCTTCAAGTACACTCGCACTGTTGTTCTGCTTACCAAGTCCTTTCATCAATTCATCTTTTTTTTTTTTTTTTTTTTTTTTAAACAATTAATAACAAATAATTAGCCAGGATGGATTCTATTTGCTTTCTTGCAGCTCAGCTTCGTTTTGGAGGACTGAACTGTTCTTCAGCTGCGCGGGTTTGTAGTGATTTTGGAGCTAATTACAACCAAGCAGGATAGGTCACTGCCATTACCAGCATCTGGAAAAGGGAGTTCTTATTGCTCAGCTCCTCAGTAAGTGACATGAGGTGTGAGAAAGGAGATGCTTCTGTGAGATTGTTGATACTTCTCCACCCCAGGAGAATGTCTCTTTGAACTGCCCGAAGTTTCTGTTCTGCTGCTGCTCTGAACTCATCTGAGGAGATTTCTGCCTGTGAATAGATTTGTCTTTTCTAACTTTGTTTAGGAAAGCTTTAGTTATACAAGGAGTTTTCATCTTACCTTTCATAGAGGTGAAGCTCAGTCTCAGCCTTTTTCCCTATGAGATGCAGGTCTCTGGCTGGCATCCCCTCTCTTCTGGTTCTCCATGCTGATGGGCATCTGAAGGCTCCTGTAAGGCTGGGAGAACACCTGTGGTCCCTGTATCTTCTGCCCTCTGAGCAAAAGCAGAGCAAGGGGCCCAAGCCGCCCCGGTTCCTGAGCTGTCTCTGCTTGGGGCAGCACAAGGGCATCCATCAGGTTGTGCTGGTTTTAAACAGCTGAGCATGGATGCAGCCTCACTCCTGGTTTCAGGCAGAAGGAAATCCTTTCTGATAAGCTGCTGCTGTTTCAAACAGACGATAAATCTCTGCAGGTAGAACTCCCTGTGCTAGCAGTTTGACCCCTAATGAAGTATTTACCAGGTTGGCAACTCACTCTGCCTCGGGAAATACTGTCCTTTCACCTGTGTGCAGCTCTCACTTTTCTTTTGCAAAACCCATGGCTTAAGGAAAGCATCAAAGCAGCCAGCAGTCCACTCCTCACCTTCCCAGTCTCTCTCCATTCTCTTTGCAGATGCAGTTTGCCAGAGACCCTGTGGCTCTGCACCTTGGAGGGCAAAGAGCTTGCAGGAGAGCTGCACATCTTTGTGTTTGGGATGCTGCGTCCTCTTAGCAGCAATCAGAGAGCAGCAACCCGGGACCAGGGGAGTGGTGAGCCTGGTGGAAATGCCACTCATATACTGGCTGTGAGCAATGGAAATAGAGCAAGGGGCTGCTGCTGACCCTGGTGTGTGCACCCTGAGGTGGTGGAGGCATCTTCAGAATTGAGCGTTTTGGGAAGGCTGCACTCTTTTGTCCATGTTTTAATGATTTGTTTCAGCAGGGCCAGGCATCTTCCTCTGCCATGCTGCCATGACCTTTGCGGTGAGATTGTGCGTGGAGAAATGTGCTGAACCACCCCGTTGCCATGGAAACCGAGGCTGGGAGGGGACCAGCCTGCTCCTGCTAATTGCTGTGGATCTGTGACCCCATCCCTCCTGCCTCCTGTAAGGCTGCCCGAATGCACAGCACCGGCCCCATCCTGTATCATCCTGCCCCTTGACTCCCAGCCCCAGTGCTGTGAGCAGGATCTAGAGTTTCCTTTTCTCCCTTTTGTGTTATCACAACCTGCATGAGATAAGTTAACATCCATGGCTTGAGCATCCCTGCAGCCCATCACCCCGTGTATGCACATCTGCCTGCATGCTCATTGCAGGAGCACAGTGGCAGTGCAGTGATGCACCCTCCCTGCATCCCAGGCTGCCCTGGCTTAATCTTGTCCAATTAAATAACTGCAGATAGTGGGCTTAATAAGGCCCTGCTTTGAAAAATTACTGACTATTTCTTTTCCAACGTGCAGTGAATTAGGAGTCAGCCTGCAAAGCAGTGGTGAGCAGGGAAAGGACTGCTGCTAATTACTGTCCCTCATGTCCCCTCTGCTGTCACCACTGCTGTCGGGCCCCCCGTTGCTCCCTGCACCTGATTGCATTTTGCTGCTGGTTGTGGCCAATTTGCAGCTCTCAGCTGCTGCTGCTTCTCCCTTCCCCCCACAGCCCCTGCTCCTCTTCGAGTTTATTAATGAAAACCTTATCTGTTGGAGCAGATAATGCCAGAAATAATTAGTGCACACAGAGGGCTGGCAGGCTGCTCTCTGCTCCCACCACCCACACCCTCTCCTCTCCCTGTTTACAGTTTCCTGTGCTGCTTGGGGCTGCTTTTTGGGCCTCCTTGCTCTGTACAGATTTATTTGCTTCTCTCTCCAAGTTTTCTTTGCTCAAGACAGACCTGAGGCACAGACGCATCCTAAAGAGCTTGGCCTTAAGCACCTGGGCTGCAGGTGCCCTGACCTTATTGCTGCTGGAAATGGGGAGCTGCCCCCCAAAGCCCAAGAGCAGGGAATGCATTTGCTCCTGGCATGCTCTGGTCAGGTCACGGCCTTGCTCCTGCTGTGCCAGCACCGTCCTCACTTTGCTCGTGCTCCCTTTCATTACAGTTAGCATCATTGTCTCTTGGCTTAAATCTTTCAGCCTGATAAAGGATGACAGCACTGCTCGAGTGCCTGGGATGGCATAAATAATTCCAGTGCTGAGAGAGATTTATGGCTATATAAATGTCAGGAGTGAGCCCGGTTTGTATTAATGGCCTTATTAGTTACGTTGCTGTAAAATACAGATCCTCCAATTGTTAAGCGGCCAAGCTTTTGGTCCACAGCATTAATCCAATAAATTTGGGCTTCTCAATACAAATCTTAGTCCCTGAACCGCACTGGAAAATTCTTCACGATATGTCAAAGAGCTTTAAATGGCTTTGACTGAGAGAGGTGGGAATAACAGAGCTGGTGGGAGCGCAGGTGTAAGGCGGTGCAGCAGCCCATCCCCACCCAAGAGCATGGGAAGTGTGGAGGTCCCTTGGCCGTGGGGATTGGTGGTTTTGTCGCCAGCTTGGAAATCACAGCCCAACCCAAACACTCTCATGGCCCCAAGGTGTCTGTCTGTCCTTCCCACCCTGCTGCCATCCCTCCCTGTTCCCTGGTACATCTCATATGAGGGCGTTTTGCAACTCTGCAAACTTTCCACCAGCGACCTGCCAAGTGCACGGGGAGGGAGAGGGGAAAGCACCACGATAATTGAAAATAAATGGTGCATTATATGATATAAATGTTCTGGTGCAGCCAGCTTGCTGTCGCTGATTATTTATTTGTTACTTGCAGACACTTTGAGGAGGTGTCTGGGGGGAGGGGTTTTGGAGATAAAGTGGTGATGCCTTCATGCAGAGGGAGCTGCGGGCCATGGGGAGCTCTGTGTGACCTGCAGCAATGGCAGGGGGAAAGCCACAGCCATTGGAGCAGAGATGTCATTGCCACGAGGAGAGTCCAGAGAACCCAATGTCTTGGGGCATGTTGGAGGTCTTCTAGGCCCTGTGTGCACCTGTGAGAGGCAGGGGTCTGCAGGAATGGGGCAAACGTGAGCAGGGAGCCTCTGGAGTTCTGCTCAGCCTGAGGTTGGGTTGCTTGCCGTGTCTCTCTGGTGGGAATTTACTCCTGTTTGGTAGGGCAGGAGGCTGCCTAGGAGGGGTTGGATTTAACCTGGAACATGGACCCTTTTGCTGTGTTGGCTCCTCGGCCATGTCATGCTTCTTATGCCTTGACAAAACTTATCCTGGATTATTTTTCAGCTGCTATTTAATCTTGAGAGGGTTGTAAAAGCTTTGAACCACTACTTGAAGACTGAGTGAGTGATTTCTGGCCTTGTCAGACAAGGAGGGGATGTGGAGGTGGGATCCCAGTTGTGCACTGAGTTGCCCTCCCTAGGCAGCTGGGATCTCTGCATTGCTGGCTGGGAAAAGGCTGAGGATGAACCTCCTGTAGCCTTCAGATGAAATTGTAGAGATTTTGGCTTGAGGTTCTCCAAGTTCTGCTCATCTTGAATCAAACACCATGGACCAGGAACAGCATGAGGGCTGAACATCCACTGGGGGATGTTCATGGGACAGCAAGGGGCAAACCCATCCCTCCCAGCTCACTGAGGCAGGGCTGGCAGAACCCAGACTCCCTCTGGCCTCTGCCATGGTGCCATCAGATTTCTGCATGCAGTGTTTTGGGCAGGCAGCACGCTGGCCCTCGGCACACTTTGGTTTTAAGCCACCCTGGTTCAGTCTGCTCTGGAAGTGGACTCATCCATCACTGCCAGCACTGCAGGACCATGGAGCACGTCTCGCTCGCCTGCACTGCCACAGCCCCTGAGCTCCAGGCATTGCCTTCCTCACTCCAATAGCTGCCTTCAAGTACAATTCACTTTGTTATTAATTTCTTTTATGCTGAGGCTCTTAAACCCCGTGGGAATGGGGACTTGGGTCACAGAGGCAATCTGCAGCTGAGTGCCTCTAAAAGCCATGGGCAGAGAGATGGAAACTTGCAACAGGCGCGTGCCAACCTCATGGTTCTGGGGGCAGTGGCACTGGGTGAGCTGGGCTCAGTTCAGTCCCTTGGGGCTGGAACCCTGTCACCATCCCAGCCCTGTGCCCCCTAGGGGCTCTGAACCCCTCGGAGTTGGAAGAGGAGCTGTCCCCCAGCATCCCCCAGCCATTAACAGCCTATACCAGTCTGTAAATTATGTTATGGTATGTTATTTACAGGCCATATCCCAGCCCCATATTAAAGACACAATTCTTACGCAGTTGGGCAGACAGCAGGATGCAGTTCTCTCTGGGATTCGATTGCTGCAGACTGCCAAAATCCTTGAGAAATGTTATTTTGGAGTCTGCTCCTCCGTGCAGGGGCTGTGTGCCCCTCTCATTATCAGTATCAACACACAGGACCCCCCCCACCCCCCAGGTTCCTCCTCCCCAGCCCTGGTGTCCGTATTTACAGCTGGAGCATGCTAGGCTAATTGCTAATCAGTTGCATGCAATCAGCTCATCTCCCACCATCTCGGGAAGGGCCGAGTGCTGAAGGTGACTCCTGCAGGAGTTCATTTCTTCAAAATAAAGGTGACAGTCAGCACAGGTTCGTTATCTGAGCAGCAGATGCTAAGCTGTGGGGCCAGCAGATGCCCTGGCTTGTGCTGGGCTCTGTGGGCTTTGGGCATGCACTTCTCTTTTGGATGTAAGAACCCAGTGGGTAGAGCATCCCTGGTAGTGGAGGGACGTGCCTGGATCTCCTGCTCTGCTCTCGGGGAATGGCTGTGGTGTCTGAGCAGTGCGGTGGCTGTGGACTCGGTTTTGGGGACCTTGGCTCTGCCGTTGGTAGAGCTGCTGGGGTCAGACTGGAGGCAGCCCCGTTTGTGGGGTAATTAATTCTCTTTTGATCATCTGCCATGTAAATCATCAGTGGCTAGGAGTTAATCATGTGTACGAGATGAATCTTGCTCTTGCCTTAATGAGCGCCGAATCGTGACCGGCATCTGCTTACTCCCCACACTTTCATCTCCTGTACAGTGTGAACAATTAATTCTATCTAATAATCTCCTCTTTATTCTATTAAAAAATAATAATATTAATATGAGGGCAAACAGCCTCTGCTGCCCTGACCTTTGTTGCTTTGGTCTCAGGCAACCACTTGCTCTTCTGGAGCAAAGAAAGGGGCTGTGGGTTCCACAGCTGGGGTGGCACATCCCTTCCCTTGGAGCTTGCTTGTCCCCTGTCCCCAGGACTAATTCTGCTGGTCCCGGCACAACGGGGTCCTGCCCTGCTCAGCTGGGAACCAGAGGGCACCGAGGGTTGCTTGCAGTCCCTTGGTGACATGCAGTGATGTTTTGCCAGAGGCTCTAAGTCCAGTCCAGTTGGAAGGAGAAGCAAGGTCAGCAGGATTTGGGGCTCCTGGATGCGTTCCCTGTCACATCGGTTCTCGGGGCTGTAATTTAGTCTGGTTTAACTGGAGCTTAAATTAGCCCGGAATGGAACGGAGCTGCAGCTGCATTCAAAAACATCTGAAATCACAGCGCAGTAAAACATTTCCGCGTTCCATTAACGCCTCTCAGCAGGAAGTGTCTGCTCCCCAAATCCTCTGCTTCTTCTCCGCAGCTCTGAAAGCCTGCACAGCAGTGGCTGTCCCTCAGCCACCCGTCCCCAGCCTCCTTTCTCCCCATGTCATTGGCATTCAGTTCTCCTGTTTATTCAATTAGTGCCTTTCTGCTTAATTATCTGGTTAATGTGAACATGCCTAATTGCTGCATTGGTGAGAGGGGTGCCTGTCCCCCTGCACGGCGCACAAGGCCATGAAACTGTACGGAATGGACACTTGGAAAAAGCCTGCTCCAGCTGATGAAGGGAGGGATGGGTTGAGTTGGGATGGGGCAGCCCCATGGAAGGGATGGACAGGGTGGCATAGGATGGGTTGGGATGGGATGGGAAAATCACCATGCAGGTGGTGCCAACTTGGTGGCAATGGTGATGCCACCAGCTTCCAAAATGTCCACCTTCCTACATCTGTAGGGCAGTGTGTCTCCCTATTTCTATTTCAAGGGAAAAAAAGGGCTTTTTCTCCTTACCCTTTTCTCTCTCCCCTCCAAAGTCACCTCCAAAGCCTCATCCTTGGATGTTCTCAGCTGTGGGGGGACAGTGAACGGACCCAATGGTGGGGGACTGTTCTTGGGAGCTTCTCAATGGGAAGCTTTACATCAACTTTCCATGAAATGGATATTTCTAAAGGGAGAGATGAATGCTGGCATGGGAGGGATGGACCCAAGACATGCTGCATCCTCAGTGTACAAACAGAATCCCCCCACTGCTGGCTGGGGCTGGCTTAGCAGAGGGAATAATTGGTAGGTGCTGCTGAATGTAATGAATAGAGGGTACTCACAGCTTTTGTTTATTGACTCTTGAGTTGTAATGAATACTTCCAGAGGTAATTATTGATTTTCTGCATTTGCAGGAAACCTGCTTGGCTGGGAGATGGGTGGAGGTGGATACAGGGAGGTTTTGTGCAAAATCAGGCTGCTGAAGAGCCTTCACCCATGGGGAGCAGAGTGGGAACAGAGGTATGGATGGAGATGCTCTCAAAGTCACAGGGTGGTACAATGCCACTGTCCTGGCCATGGGGCCACAGGGACAGGCTCGGTTCTGCTTTCTTGGGTGTTTGGGGACTACAAGAACCAATGGGCACGGAACAGCAGCTGCAGTGGGCAATCAGCATCCACAGGGTTCTGCAATGTGTAAAGCACAAAGCAAGCAATCCAAAACCAAGGAAAAATACGACATCTATAGAAAAAATATTTGTCCAGCTCCAGGACAAACCCAGCTTTATTCACTCTGGAAGGGAGAAGAGATTAAAATGTAATCCTGGGTAAACACATTTTCTGCTTTCTTCCCCTTGGGTACCTCTCAGCAGGCGCAGATCCGTCCTGCTGAGCTCCCTGTGCTCATCCATGGCAGCAGCCAAATGCCCCGGGCAGCTTTTGGCTGTCATCTCCCAAATCAAAATCTGGGACTGGGGTGGGTAAGGGGGGGCTGGGCCCTTAGGGTGGGGGGAGAAAAAGGGGACGGTGCATCCCCCCAGGGCTGCTCCCTGCAGGGTGTGGTGCTGGGACTGTGCTGGTAGTGCCGGTAGCACCCAGCATCGCCTCTGCTTATTGCACAGAGCTTTTTCTGGGCATCTTATGTTGCTTTTTTGGGCTGTTTATTTATGAGGCAATTTATTAGAGCGCAGTTATTCTATAGTGGGGAAATGTATTCCTAGGAGCCTCCGTTAACAGAGCCAATTGCTTAATTAGCTCGCTGATGTCTCCATGAGGTACGCCAGGAGAGGTTTCTGCTTGTAACAATCACTGCCTTCCCCCTGCACACACACCACCCGTGCTGCTAATTTAATAGTGCAAATATTTATTATCCCCAGTGTTTGGCAGCGAATCTGGGGGTGTTTTGAGCAACTCCACTCTCTAGCTCCAGGGACAGGGCTGGACTGGTGGGGATGGCTGTGGGCTGGGGGGTTAAAGAGGGGAATGGTGGAAATGTTGCATTGTGCACGGGGTCCTCGGCTGCAGCTGCATCCTGCAAACCTCAGGGCAGGCACCACTGCCCGATTGGGCATTTGGGCACCAAGCTGCAGCGATGGGATGGAGCTGGCCGTGCTGCTCGTGTGTTTACCACAAGATACTCTCAAGTCCTTTGTGATTTTTCTTCTTTCTCTATTGTTCCTGGCTATTGTTCCTGGCTCCATTATCCCCCGGTTGCTTACATAAATCAGCACGTGGCTCTCCGAGACACACAGGGAGCAGCGCATCCATCCAAGGTCACTGTCCCTTGTGCTGCAAGAGACGAATTCCCTCCAAGGGCCGTGAGCTCCGGGATGCTTCCTGCGCGGCCGAAATAGGCCCCACGAGGACCATCCTGGTGCTTCCAGCCAAGGATGCTCTCGGTCCAGGGATGCTCCCAGCAGAGCAGCGGGGGGAGGCGGCACCGGGGAGGGGACAAGAGCGGGCCCGGCCCCATTCCCCGCCTCGCTGCCACAAAACGGGAGCCGGGAGCCGGCTCGTCTTCACACTCTCCCCTCCAGCCTTACTGAACCGGAATATCCCCCATTAAACCTCGGACTGAACCCAAGCCGGCACCGAACCGAGCCGTGCGCGGTCAGGAGGGATGTAGAGATCAGCACCGCGGAGAGCGGCCGCGCCGAGCCGCGCCGGGGCCATGGCCAGCGTGCAGCAGGGCGAGAAGCAGCTCTTCGAGAAGTTCTGGCGAGGGACCTTCAAAGCCGTGGCCACACCGCGACCGGAGAGCATCATCGTGGCCAGCATCACCGCCCGCAAACCGCTGCCCAGGTAAGGGGTGGGGAACCCTCGGCTTGGGGGCTGCTCCCTTCTGCAGATGTCATACTTAAGGGCTGGGGTCACGGGGGCTGCCTGCGGCTGGGGGATCTGAGCTTTCTGTTCCCTCCTCCCCAAGTGGGAAACTTTGGCTCTTTGGAGCCTGGAGTAGTGTGATGGGCTGGATTGTAGTTTTGGGGTGGGGGCTTAGCCATGCAGCCCCCAGCATACATCCCTCTAGTTGTCTGTCCCCCTCCTTCCCTTGGAGTCTAAGCCCAGGGCAGCAGGGTCAGACCACACAAAAAGGGACCGAGGGGCTGCTGGTACCTACTGAGCTCTGCTGGGATGCGCAGGGATTTGTGTGACTTCCTCACAACAACACATCCTCAAATCTAGAGCATTTTTATTCTGTTGGCTGTCACAATATTGACTAAGAGCATCTTTGCACTGTTTTTCAAAGGGAGTGAAGCTTCTTTCCGTTGCTCAGTGTCACCAGAGTTTGGTGAAGGTGTTGGATCAGTGCAGGAGAGGGCTGGGGGATCAGCCTGCACCAAACATCCCAGAGCCCATGGGGACCCACACTGGGGTCACTGAATGCTTCCACTTCTCCGTTAGTGATCAATCAGGTTTGGAAATTGGGGAAGCTCAGCTTGGGGCACCATGGGCAGCAGTGGCTCTTACAGCATTTCCAAACCGGGCTGCGATCCCAAAGGTTTCACTGCAGAACTGATCTAAGAGCAAAGCCCTCTGTGCCAGCAGGCAGAGGGATGAAGGGAGCAGGGAGCCCAGCACAACACCACGGTGACCATCTGTGTCCCTGTTTCCTCCCAGCTTGGCAGATGCGGGCAGCGTGGGGTTCCCATTGCAGAAAGGGATTTTCCTCCTCCTGGAGGGGTCCGTAGGGTTCTTGCCTTTTGGGTCCATGCGCAGCCCCAGATCAGAGTGCTTCCCCAGGGTGCCCCGGCTCTGCAGATAACGCCTCTTCCCTCCTAATTCCCGGCAGGAGCTCTGGGAGTTTTGCAGGGTTAAAGCTCTGCTAAAACCACATTTCATCTGGAACAAAAGAATACATTAATCCCACCCGTGGCCAGCCAGGGGCTGCACTCCGGGGTCTGCCCTTGACTCCGTAGAGCAAAAGGGATACTGAACACTGTGGCACAGAGCTGAAGTCTCTCCTTTTCCATCTCCACTTTCTTCTTGCTGAGTCTTTTATTTTAAGGCAGCGGGTGATTGTTCATTATCGTCATTACCTGCGCACAGCCCCGTGGAGCAGCGGTGGGATGCTGCTTCTCCTTCCATGGGGAGCTCCAAGAGGCACGGGGCTGCCACTGCCCACTGGCACCCACTGGTACCCCAAGTACCAGCCGCTTCCCTGCTGCCAGATGGCTGAAGTGGGTCACCCCGGGCCAGTGCAGGGATTTATTTTAACCCCTAATCCCCCAGGATGTGTTGTGCTACACGTGGTTTCACTGCCCAATTTGCAATCGGCAGTGATTTTGGGTTGGGATGGGACCCAGCTCTCTGCCACCCCAACCCGCAGCTCGTCGGGCACATCACTGGTTCCTTCATCCCCACCATCCTGCTCGGTCCCCACGTGTCAGCACCGGGCTGTGCTGCCGGAGGGCCCCCGGCTCCGCTAATCCCCCCCTTGTCCATCGGGCATCTGCTCAGCGGGGCCTGGCTGCCATCTGCTCCTTCCCGCGCCCAACGAGCCGCAGCGCTAATGAGCCCATGGCTGCAGCCCAGCGGGGGGAGCGGGCCTGGAGGAGGAAAGCAGAGGGAGGAGCAGAGGGGGGAGCAGCAAAGCCCCCGTGCTCGGGGAGCCGTCAATAGGGCGGCTTTGTCAGCCCCCGCCCGCCGGCTCCAGCTGCACGGCGGCTGCGCTCATTAGGCAGCTCGAGGGCTGCTGGGGGTGAGGGCAGAACTGGGGATGCCCATAGGACCCACAGAGCCTTCCTCCTCCTCATGGTCCTCTTCTTTCAGCCCCATTCCTGGCTTGGTGCTGGAGCGATTCCCAATGGTAAAAGTTCATTGGTCCCCAAGGGCACCGTCTGCATCCCAGGGCACGGTGTGGCAGCACGGGATCTTGTGGAGCTCTGGGATAAAGTGAGGAGCTGCAGGGCTTTGGGTCCCCATCGGGGTGAGGGGCTGCAGGTAACCACATCAGGCTAATCCCTCCCCCAACCCATTCCTGACTCCTACTCATGAATGGGAGATGTGTCCAAAAAAATGACTTAGCTCATCTTGGCATGATAGGACCGTCTGGAGAGGGCTCATAACCCTGCACCACTCCTTCAAGGTTTAACTAACAAATATCTGGGGCTGTGAGACGTGGGCAGGTCAGTCCTGGGAGGGTTTACCCATCCATAGGGCTGGGGCTCTCCTCTCCCCCTCCCTGCCTCTCTCCCTGCAGCTGGACCTTCATGCGCGTTTTTCCATAATATGAACTTTCCAAAGGCAATCCCTTCCTCAGTGAAATGAAATCATTTCATGCATGATTGCAATTCTTCGTTCTCTTTTTATTTCTTCCTTACCTTTTCTTCCCATGGCCACTGAAACCACTCTGTCATTGCAAAGCCCGGAGCGGGGCATTAAATCCCACCTGTGTCTGGGGTTGGCACTGGGGGTGGGCACTTTGTGTGACCATACAGCAACTGAGGGGCAGCTGGGTGCCCAGAACGGATGCCCCAATTTGGAACCCATTGGTGCTCAGCAGGCAGAGGAATGGGGCCCGATGGCACAGGAGCAGTGATGGTGCACTGGTGCGATGCAGCCCTGGTGCCACCACCTCCCCTCCACGGGTAAGCTGAAAGTGCTGACAAACACTGGGAGTGTAAAAATAGCAATTTTTTTTTTTCCTTTTTTTTTCACAAGTGCCTTCCCTGCTAGTGCAGGGACTGCGAGGAGAGCTTGAAGAACTGGAAGTGGGAACAAACTCTATTAAAAGAGAGAAAGGTGCTGGGGAATGCACTGCAGTCCCTGCACTGTTTTTGTCCTTTTCTAGGGACAGTGGGACTGGTCTGAAATTGGTCTCTTTTGGGGCAGATTTGGGTTGAAAATGACCTCTTTTGGGGCAGGGTTTGGCTGAAAATGGCCTCTTTTGGGGCAGGAATGCTTGCGCAGGGCATCCTGGAGCTAAAACAGTCCCTGAGTCCCCATGCTGAGGTTGGGGCTAATTGATCTGCTGACAACCCCGTTCAACACTCCATGTTTAATTGATGTCTCTCCATTAATGAAATGAGCAGCTGGCTGCAGCTGGCCTGGCTCCAGGCTGGTCAGCAGGACCAAGGCCATGGGGCTCAGTGCTGCTCCTCCGGGGTCACTCTGCTCACTGCCCCCATCCCCACTTCTCATTCCTTTTCCAGTCCCCCATTTTGGCTCTCAGCTATGTTCCTCATGGATAAAAGGATGGGGCTCACCTTGTTGTTCATGGTGCAGCAGCAGCTGAGCCAGCACCCCGCTCACCCTCCCCACAGCTCTGCTATTGATTTGCCCTGACCTCGCTTTACCATGCTCTGATTTCTTTCAATCAGGCTTTGAATGAAGCCTCTGCACCGTTCAATAGAACCAGCCCTGGGATGACCCAGCTGGAGGTGCTCGGAGCGCTCCTGCATCCCCCCTGGAGCATCTGCTGGAGATGCAGTGGCATGGGCTGCCAGGGAGCGGTCAGGTCTCCGTCCCTGGAGATGTTCAAGGAAAGTGCAGATGTTGCACTGAGTGATGTGGTCCGGAGCGAACACGGCATGGATTAGGGTTGGACCAGATGACCTCAGTGGTCTTTCCAACCTTAAAGATTCTGTGATCCCGTGCGTCCCACATCCCACAGCATAAACCCACTGCTTCCAGGCTGCTGCCTGTCCCCTTTGCCCCAAACCCGAGCATCCAATCACCCACCCACAAAAGCCTTCCCGGTCTCCTTGGTGGCTGTCCCCTCCTCAGGGCTGCGTTTGCTCGGTGTCACGTTGGTTCCGGCAGGCCGATGGGCACAGCGCTTGTTTGCAGAGATTGCACAGAGCAGAAATCCCTGCACTTCATCTCCAGCTGCAATTACCAAAGCCAAGTCGATGCAGTTGATGGTAATGGGATGGTAACACTGTCTGAATTTGTATTTAATGCTGATTCCAAGGGTCTATAATTTTCATCAGCACCACGCGACTTTTTATAGAACAGAAAAAATGTGAGAGCAGTTAATGAGCTGTAATTCTGGAGAGCTTCTGCCTTGATTGGGACTAATTATTTTCTTTATAAAAATAATTAACAACCCACACAACCTAAGGAGTGAAAGGCATGTGGCATTAATTAAACCGCGCGGTGTCTTCAGCGCACCTTTATCTGCTGATCCCGTCGTGTCCTGGGCACAAGGCTGGGCATCGCTCACGCCGTGCCAAGGGACAGCGAGGGGGCAGTGGCACATTGGGACCACCCTGAGCCCAAATGCACCTCTTTCTGCAGTGCTCTAAGAGCCTAGGATGAGCCCCAGGTGGATGGGGAGCGTGTCTGTGTGCTTAGCCGCACACTTACATAATATACAATTGTTAACAAGACTAATTCCTCTATTTTCCTGGAGGTATGCTGAGAACTAATGAATATATTTGCATAATCTTGATTTTGTTTATGAATAATTCTGGATTATCCCGACGTGAATGGCACAGGGGCTTTGCCACTCCGGGTTGCCTTTCAGCGGAGGATAGCAAAGCGTTTTGCAAATATTAGTTCAGCCTCACAAATCCCAGCAAGCAATAAAATTATTATTACACCCAATTAAAAATGGATGTGCTGAGCAGGGGAATGGCTGTCTGCAGCCTCAGGGCCGGGAGCCCGGGGCCAGAGCTTCCCCTCGGGAGCTCTTGCCATCTCCCTGCCTGGGCTGGGAGTCTCTCTGGTGAGAGAAATTTGTTGCGGAGTTCCTTATTGCAAACAGAGGGGGAATAAGCTTTGTCTGAGCACCAAAGGGAACACTCCTGCTCCATGTGGAGCATCTGCCTGACCTCCCTGCACTCCCCTCCTGCCCGATGAGCCCTGCTAAGATCCATGCTCAAAGCCATCTCCCATTGCTGCCGACAACTGTGTGCTCACAATCCGCTATTCGATTAAAAGCTAACGAGCTATGTTATTGGCAAATAAACTATTTATCTTGCTGCCATTTGCCCTGCTCAACAAAGCGGGACTTCGGGCAAGGGAACTGCAGCAAGGACCCACGGCCCTGTCTGGTGCAGGGATGGGACCTGGTTGACATTGCTGTCAACTTTTCAGGTTGGAAACCTTGCAGGGTGTTTGCCAGGGAGGGAGATTTGAAAACAGGAAAGGCACAGGGCTGCTTGCTGAGAGCGGCATCTTGGGGAGGAGGACACCCAAAGGCAGTCCTAGTTAGGATTACAGCTCTAAGCTATGGTGGAGACACCTGCCCCAGTGCTGCCAGCAGCTGCCTCCAGCAAGAGTTTGCGATGCAGATGGAGCCATTCCTACCTCTGTGCCCATTATCATCCCCATTCCCAACCCTACCCTCATCCTCATCCCATCCTCAATCCCCTCCCCATCCTGAACCCTGCCCCCATCCTCATTGCTTTACTATCCCCATCCCTATCTTCATCCCCATCCCATCCTTGTCCTCATCTGATTCTCATCCCTGTTCCCATCCCATCCTCATCTCTTTACCATCCTCATCCCATCCCTAACCCCATCTCCATCCCCGGGCTGTGACCATGCAGTGTCCCTGCAGCACCTGGCACCAACCCTGCCACCAGCAGGGACGCCTCTGTTCTTACACAGCCATGCATAGCAAATCAGCTGCTGGAAAAACGAAGAGCCAGGGCTGCTTTTTTGGCCCAGGGTGAGATAAGAGAGGTTGTGAAACATTTCTGGAGGCCAAGAAGCAAAAAAGAGCTGCTGCTTGGTTTGGTCTTGCAGCAGGATGCAGGGGTGTGGGAGGGGGTTGAGCTAAAATTGGATGAAAAACACCTATTATGGAATTGTGTTTCTTTTCTGTGCTTAAGCTGCTTCAAGGAAGCCACGCGCTTTTCTGCAGCTGGTGCCTCTGCTGATGCACGAGGAAATAGTGGAGAGAAGATTAAAATTGAACTGGCTCAGGATCCGTGCAATCAGGGAAAATATCGCAGTGATTTGCTATTATAATTTCCAATAACAAACGGCAGGGCTCCTGCTGCACTAATAACAGTGGTCTGAATGAGGTGGGGAAGGAACCTGCCATGGAGTGGTTTTGTGTCTGTGTTTGTGGAAAGCACTTAACAACCTCCCCCACCTCCTAATTTTAAAGAGGTATTTTTAGTGCCTGTTTCAAAGGGATTTACGTAAACACATCTGCATGAGTTTTGGCGTGGAAATCTCTTTTACAACCTTCTCCTTTCCCCCCCTCCTTCTGCCGGGTCAAAGGAGCGGTTCAACCATTTTCTTTTTCAATCAACTGAGAAGAGGCAGAAAGCAAGAGAGAAAGAAAAGGATGATTTCACCAATGCAAAAAGCCTCCTCTGCATAGAGTGATGCGTTTTGAGAGGATTGTGGCGCAGCGCAGTGGATGTGGGACAGCAGGGTCCCAGGGCTGTGGGTGCAGGTGATGCATTGGCACAGCGGTCCAGGGAGTGGTGGGCTCACCAACCCTGGTGTTGTTCAGGGAACGTGGAGATGTGACCCTGAGGGATGTGGTTATGGGCACAGTGGGGTGGGTTGGGTTTAGGCTTGAGGATCTGAGAGGTCTTTTCCAGCCTTCACGATTCCATGACTCTATGATTCTATGATCCACCACCCAACCCCGCTGCGCCCTTCAAACAAAGCTCACCAGGAAGGCGGTTTTTCAGCTTCTCGCTCCTCCAGCGATGAAGAGCTGCAGGAGAAAGGCTGCTTGATGAGAGCTTTGTGGCAGGAGATGGCTCGGGGACTCAGGAGCCTGAGGACAGGGGAGGGGGCTATGTCACCCAGCGCATCGCATGGTCTGATGGCGTGGCATGTGCCCATGGTGCTGAGCTCTGCGACGGGGACGCGGCCACGGTTTGCTCCCGAGGCAACAAACACCCTGTGCCTTTGCCCTGTCCTCCGTGTCTCCCCCAGCTGTCATGGCCCAGCCCGTGAAAGACGACAGAAAAAAAATATATGTTTATATCTATCTATTCAATCAATGTCTATGGAGCTTAACGCAAAGGGATTACCAGCCCGTTTAGAGCGTTAGTGACTCTCAGCTTTCACCGGAGGAGAGTATTGGGTTGAATTGAAGCCAGCCTTTGATGGGATTGGAGAATAATTATTTCCATCAATAATTACTTCCAAGCCCAGAAGAAATGGTCCCCAGTGTGTAGCAGGACAGCAGCCCTTGGTTGCCTTCAGGCTAATGTGTTTCAACGCCGAGACCTGAAATGCCATTAGTGGGGACATCACCCACTGTGCCCAGGGAGGGCCCCCATCCGCACCATTGGAGCTGCTCCAGCTTTGCACAGGTCATTAATTTGGGGACATTTTTAATGGATCCTAATGACCGAGCCTCAGAAGACTGTTCTTAAAAGGGGGTTGGGAAATGCCACAAGCTAATTAGCTCACACAAAGAAAGCAATTAACCATGTAGCTTCCTGGATGGTTAAAAATAACACAGATAATGGGAAAAGACTGGGAGATTTTTTACAAGCAGAATAATAGATTTTAAAGCTGGAGGGACCATCAGATCTGCCAGCATTACCTCTTGCATGTCATGGGTAGGAAATATTTTCTCCAGCTTCATCCCATTGACCCCCAGTGCATGTGTTTGCCTAATGTTCATCCCTAAACCTTCAGGCATTGCAAACTGTGCTCCAAGAAAGAAAGGGCTGCTAGAAAAGGTGGGGTTTTCCTGAGAACACGGGTTGATATAGGAATGAAGTCTCTTCAACAGATGCTCCAGCCCCCAGAATTGTGATTCTCATGACAGGGGCAGGCAGAAAGATGTTCCAAGGGGCTGCAAGCCTCTGGCCATGGCTAGCTGGGGCTGATGTGCTGCTTCCCCATGGAATTGCACTTTAGCTTCCTTCCTGGCACCACTGAAGCCCCAAGATGTGCAACACTCTTGGTCCTGGCCCTTCGGCACATATTTGGTGACTGTGATGGTTTCCAAATCCAAAATGCCTGGCTGGGCTCAGCCTTGCTGATGCTTCCTTTATTTATCTGTGTAATACTCTGCACGACACCAAAAATGTGGTGTTCTCATTCCCCACTGGGTATGGTTTACGACTTTCCATTAGTGCTTCCATTCTTTGATACAAATACCTGCAGGGCTCTACTCACACAGGCTCCCTGGGGCTTGTGCAGGCACCTGCACGGCTCAGGTGGTTCCCTTTGTTTTCTAGCTCTCTTATTGCTCTTTCTGGCCTCTTGCCACGCAGTGGGACGCTCAGCTGCCTGCCGTACTCTGCCGAGGATCGACGTCCTGAGAAGCTGAGCAGCTGTGTGTCCAAGGAGACCTCCACCACTAACGGCTGGGCAAGAGGGAAGGAGAGACGCGGCCATGCTCACCACAGGTCACGCAGGTAGGGACAGGGCCACCCTGCCATGAGGATCAGTGGAAGAAACGTCGTCCTCATCCCTGCTGAGTCAGTGAGATCTGGGCAGGGGTTGGACAACTGTGTGAACCGCCGGCATCCCATGTGCTATGGGGCACATAGGTTCCTCCTGGCTGTGGATCGCCCTCAGCAGTTCCCATCTCCCATGCCTAGATCAGAGCAGCAGCACTGCCTTAGCTAGGATATCGCTTTGTTATCGGTATGCTGTTAGCCCCTGACAACTTGCAAAGGTAAAAATGAATGAAGCTTGCTAAGCAAGGCAGCTGGGGTCTCAGCCTTTGTTGCTGAACTGGGATTAAGGCCTTTCTGTTTGGTTAAAGATGCTGGAAAGAAAGGGACAGAAAGTGCATTTACTATCTTCAGATGTCAGGCTAACTGGAACAATAATCTAAAGTGTATTTTTAATTAGACTCTGATTACAATCACAGAGGAACAATTAAAGTTAGATCAGCTCAGGGAGGAGGCTTCCACTTCAAAGACAAAAGGCTTCATCTTGGGAGCAGGGGGAGGGCTCCAGGCAGGCTGCCTATGGCTGAGCACACAGTCTGGAGGTTCTCCATGCCCTGGTCCAGACATGGCAGGAGCTGACGATGGCCTGAGATGAGGAGGGGGCTGAGCTGTGCTGGAGCCTACATCCCACATCCCTATGAGAATGGCTTTCCAACACGAGGTCCCAATGGTGGCACCTCCAGCCAGTGGGATGAGCAGTGGGGATGCTGAGGCATAGATGCTGAGCTCTAGTTTCCATCATTCACTGCCTTTCTTTAGGGTCACCAGCCCCCATGCATTTCATATTTTCAGTGCAGTGCTCCAAATTAATTAAGTGCAGCGTTTGCTTTTTGCTGAAATGTAACACAATTTAAAAATAAATTAATTTACAGCTTTTTTCCCCCCAAAGTTTAACCACCGTGTAAGAGATGCTTATCTCACTAAATCACCATAGCACATCAATAAATACATATTTTTCTAATCAATTGCTATTTAACATTTGCCATGTCTTATATTACTGTTAAATTCACTCGGTCTCAATAATTATTGTATGCAAATCAAATGCCGATTAATTATTTAAAACATATTTACAAAGCAGCAAAACCCATAAATCTGTCATGGAGTTGTTAACCTCAGCAAGCTCATTTCAAATAACCGGCTGGCATCGCAGCCACGTACAGTGTCTGTCTCATTATATCTCCATTAAACCCACGGAGGAGGCGCTCAATTTCAAGTGAGGGTAATTAGAGGGTAATTAGGTGCCCTGATCTGTCCCGGTCTGCCCTCAGGTAGGGATGGTGGCATGCGGAGGTGAGCAACCCCAAGTGAGGTCATTCTGATGGTGTTTTTATGCATTTATTTTAAAACCTTGTTTGGCTTTATCCCCCCTCTTCAGCCCCTCGTGTGATGGGGAACGTGCACCGCTGCCAGCCCGGGGCAAGAAGAAGAAGAAGAAATCCAGCCGCAAGAAGCGACGGAGGTGAGGGCAGCCATGTTGGCCTGGGCCTTGCCTTATGAGCCTCATGGGGAAGGTGTGAGGGGCTGGGCTCTGCCGGCCATCCTCCTGCCCTCCCCTTACACCTAAACAGGGCTCAGCCCCAAAGCCCGGTGGTGGGGTGCAAATTGGGCAGCCCTGTGGGTGAGGGGCTGTGCTGGCCCTGATGCTTCTCTGCTCCCCCAGGTCTCCTTCCTACAGCCCCTCTCCTGTGAAGAAGAAGAAAAAGAAGAGCTCCAAGAAGAGAAAAAGACACAGGTATTTCTCCTTCGAGGTGTTGCGGTGATGCCTTGGGTTCCAAAAGCCGGTTTTTAATTTAAAGAGAGTGATGAAATTTTGGAATTGCAAATATTTCACTGTCTTCTCCCAGCTGTTAAACCAATATTTGCAGAGAATAGTAGATGCCATCTCCCTTGGAAAGTTCATGTATTTATAATTTATTGAATGAGAGCAAGAAGCTACTGAAAGTGGTGAACAGAGTGAAAAGCAGCCCTTTTTTTGTTATGGAAAAAGGTGGAAGGGAGGGAGAGTAGAAGGAGATAGAAATGCCTCTAAAATATATCTTATCCATCTCGGGTCAGATGCTTGTCATTTTTACACCTGTAGTACTCATTTGTGGCCCTGCAAGCTGAACTGTAGTGTTCATCCCAAAAGGCATCGTGATCAACCATTGAGCATTAGTGACCAGTGGAGGTCATTTCCAGATACCACTCAACTACAGATCCCAACTGGCCTTGTCTCGGGCCATCTCATGGCCCTTCTAGACAGGTCTTCAGGCCATGTCTTCTGCGGGATGCTGTGCTAGGAGCTCAGGTGGGACAGGAGGCAGCGTGCAGGGGGCTCACTGGAAGGAAGTATCCCCCTCTATGCTCCCAGGTTTTTCCAAGGGCCACCAGCATGGTGGTTCCTACAGGCATGCTCCAGGAGGGAAGACATAAAGCTGGTTTGGCTGTGAGCCTGCTCTGCAGTTTTGCAGAAAGGATTCCTCCTTTGACTGCTGCTCAATCCTTTGTACAGAAGATCAGGGTCTAGACTCTCCTCTACAACTTCAAACTCAGCGCAGTGTAGAGTCAGTAGTAGAGAAAAGCGACCCACCAGGGACAGTGGAGGTGTTTGATTCTACAGAAAATGATATGCTCAATTATTTGCAGTGTGCCAGTGACTTCCACCAGCACCAGCTGCCCCGTTAGCTGCCTCGTTAGCCCAGCTGGCTAAAAGGGAGTCAGGGCTGTCCAGCTGGTGCATTGTTTCCTTAATGCTCAGCCTCAAGATGGGCCTTATCAGATTGTCTCTGATTCAAACTTCCAGTTTTGTAAGACGCTGTACTCAGTGTGCACCTTTGTGTCTTGCAGGTTATCCTCAAAGAAGAGAAGGCACAGGTAAGAGTTGAGCACGTGTGGGTGATCCCCTACAAATGGTCTCCTCAGGATCTCACAAGGTTGATGTTCACCGTGTGGAGGCAGAAATCACTTCTGTGCCTCTTTGTGGAATCCCCTTGGTTCCGCCATCCCCTGTGGGTCTCGCAACCTCATGCATGTTGGATACTTTCTGCATCTTGAGCCTTCATTCCTCTTATGGTTTCGCCTACAAACAGCATGCATTCCCCAGCAGTGGGGAAACATTCCAATTCAGTGCCTTTCCAGGTGCATACTGGAAGAACTCTCCTGATTCCAGTGCATGCATTCGTCTTCTCTATGGGAAACTGTAAAGCCAGAAGGTTGGCTGATGCCATGGGGACTGTGTCCAAGCCCAGGTTTCTCATCAAGAGCTGAGACCCCCTGTGTCAAGGCAGAAGCAGTCATCCCTTCAGTTTTTTAATTGCATGTTTTTGGGCAAATTAGATGTAATGTTGATGTGTCATTGTGCAAAATATATATATATATATAATATATATTTTTTTAAAAATAATTTTTTAAATATATTTATTTATATATATATATATAAATCAGAACAGAAATCTCCAAATTAATTAGCCATTTCTTATTTAGTTCCTCAAGCCCCAAAAGTAAGAGAAAGGAAGAAAGAAAACACAAAAAACAGTAAGTAGTGATTCACAGTATTCTCTGCCCTGCCAGTTGTGAGCAGAAGGTCCAGCTCTTCTGATGAAGGCAGTATGAGACCCAGCTCTGCATGCCCTCACTGAGAGGGGCTTTAGTTCTTCCTTGTTTGCTGCTTTCAGAGGTTACACAGGGATTGCTAGTGATATAATCAAATATCCAAATGGGAACAGAAAGCAATGGGGGCTGGGGAAAAGAAGAGGTTGTTTAGAGATGATGGAGGCTGTTGAAATATGGAGTTGAGGTTCCCATCTGCTCTGGTGTGTGCAGAAGACAAGCCCAATATTTGTCTTAAGGGGCAGACAGGAGTGTGGTATGAAACACAGTTGTTTGAGGCCAGGAGAAAGGCCTGTAAGACTTCCATTTTGCAACTTGTGGCTTCTCACCTGCTTTCAGAGCACAGAAACAGCTATGGGGCTGAAGACTGGGCATCAAGCCCCTGGCTGGCTCTGCTGGGACTCAGCACACCCTGCTAGGGAAAGAAGAGCTGGCAGACAGGGATTTGCTGTCTGATTGGTATTAGCAGGGCCTGCCCTGTAATTCTTCCCAACACAGCCTTTACTCTTAGGAAAGGAACAGAAGGACAAGAGCCCATAGCACTGCTAATGTCACCTTGCTGCCCATTGGGACTGAAGAGACTAGAATCCACGAGGTGCTGCCTTCACCTCCATTGCATGCAGAAATCCCATCTCCTTTTCTCTGCATACTGCATGTGCAGTAATGCACTCACTGCTTTCTTCCCACTAACTGAGCTGCTGTGTGCCCAGAGATCTTACAGATCATTGATAAAGCTGAAGCTTTCTTGATTATCTGTATAAGAGGGCATTTCCACACACAACAGTGCTGGCCAACCTGCGTTAGCCAGTTAGTGTGGTGAGAACAAAGATTGGATGCAGCAGTGCACTGACTGAGGGGAATGAGAGATTCTGGGATTGCTCTTTGGGGATAAACCACCCAGGGCTCTTCAGTCCTCATCTTTCAACTCAGAAAGCAGAACTGAGTCACTAGTGGTTTCTCCATGCCTCCCCGTTGCTCCCAGGTGTGGATCAGTGAGATCCCATAAACCAACTTGAATCAGGATTTGGCTTATCCTTGTTATCTAAACCACATGGGAGCAGTCTGTCCTTCCTGAACATGGGGGGAAAAAACTCTTAAACTGGAGAGACTGATGCAGAAGGTGAAGAGAAAGCATGGAGGGAGGGAGAGGCAGTCAGTGCTGCTGACTTCAGCTTTACAGAAGGAAGGAAGCTCCCCAAATGTAAAATGCTGGAAATACAATCATGGTGTATAAAAAGCACCAGAGAAAACAGCCAACCAGAGTTCAAGCAATTGCCCTCATTGTTGCCCTTTTGTTTTAGAGGAGATGCTGTGCTCAGGCAATTGGTTCACTGATTTCTTATGGTGCCAAATTGTTAAATGCTGTCCAGGCAGGTATGTTAGCAGTGTCAGTTGCTGGTACAGCATGGCCATGAAACCAGATTGTTCCTGTCAGCTAACCCATCATCAGCTTTGCGTGCTGGCACAGCAGTGCCAGGCTGAGCAGATGATTACACACCAGGCCCAAAATAGCTGCTGTGGTGGGCACTGGGCATGACGAGAAGGAACAAGCACAGAAGGTTTCAGAGCCTGCCATTCACATAACTCTGCTCCCTGAGTGCAGGACTGGGGCTTTTGGCAAGGACAGCACCAGGCCTTCAGTAATGGGGCCAGGTCCATCTGTAACAGCCCAAATGGAGCAAGGGGAAGAGGAGCAGGACAGTGAACCCCCGTCTGTGTGTAGTTTGCTGGTCCCTGTCCTGTGGCCATGTAAGAGAATGGAGCAGCAGCATCTGGGCACCTCCGAGAAGTCAAATAAATGGTCCTGTGCCCTCAAGCAGAAACCGTGCATAGTGTAGGCTGCAGTTATGGAGGCTGTGTTTCATGTTTATATCAACAATAAGAGCAGTTTATAGGACTGGCTGGACCCTCTCATCTTGAGAAGTGGGGGAAAGCTGGTACCCAATGTCCTGTATTATGGGGAGTCTGGGAGAGTTTGAGCTTGGCATTGGGCTGCTCAGACAAGTGGTTTTCCCCAGACAGGGCTTAGCAATGGGCTGTCAGGATGGGCTGCAGGATGAAGGGGGAATGGATGACATAGCTCTTTAGGGTCTTGAAAGCAGAAAGGATTGGTGCTGCCTGCTGCGCTCCTGTGCACTTGTCCATAGATCTTCCAGCATGGCGCAGAGGCAACCTAACAGCTTGTAGCTAAATGCTAGCATAGATCTCAGAGAGATGACATGCCTTGATGTCAGGGCAGCTGTGAAGGGATGGAGAGTTTTTCATACCTTCGTGTCCTTTGCGATGTCTCACGCACCAATCCCTTTGCTTTAAAATGCAGATCTTGTTTCTGATCTAAGTGCCGTTGACTCTGGCCTCCAACTGCTGGGTCTTACAGCCTAGGTCTGCTATCTAACCACAGTTTCTTCTCTGCTTCCCAAAGCTCTCGTGGGCGCACCCGGAAAGCTCGCCGCCACCGCCGCTGCCACTCTCGCTCAGAGAGCTCTGATTCCTATTCCCCGAGCTGCCGGAGCAGGTAATGTCACCGCTTGCTGGGCTGCTGCTCTGTAGCACTGCAGTGAGTCAGGAGTGTGAGTGCAATGGCTCGTGTGCCCCACTGGCCCTCTGGGCAGAGCCACATCCCACTCTGGTAGTTGGGTGTTGAGCTCCTCGTGGTCATGGCCGTAAAACAGAAGGTTTGGGCTCAAGAAGTGGTGGCTGCATCTTCTCAGCCCAGCAGTCACTTCTAATCCCCATGGCTGAAGATCAGCCAGTGACAGCTGATTTCAGCCCAGTCTGCCTTTCCCACCCCAGGGCTCTGTACTGCCAATGTCCCAGGAAAGCTTCAAGCTTGTTCTTAGCAATGGAAATGTATTTGCCAATGGCATCCTATGGCCACTATCTTTGACCTGATTAAAATCTCTTTCCTGTAGATGACAGATGCATCCTGAGGCCAGCTGAGTGGATGCTGGTGCTAGACCCGCATCACTGCAATAGCAAATTGCATAGCTATGCACATCGTGAGCTTGTTATGTGTTGTTTGAAAGAGTTTTATGAACAAACCACTCCCTCTGTCCCACTCCACTCCTTCTAACTACTGAGAATCTTCTCATGGAAGCGTGGTGATCAGTGCAGGGAGGAACGCAGGCAGTAATAGGTGGGAAGTTCATGCAAGTGCAGAGTGTCTTCTCTTGAACGTGTACTGCCATAGGGACATTCAAGGCTGTGTGGAAGCTGTAAGCCACCATAAAATTAGGAATATTGGAGCTGACGTTTGCTTTAAACTTGAGGTTTAAAACCCAAACCCCGCCACCACATCTCCTGGTTGCAAAGCAAAATGTTTTTAAAGCAAGGAAGCAAAATATTCCCTTTCACTCTGTCCAGACTCCACAGAGGAGGCGAGGGTTTGCGTGCGGCTGCCGGTGGGCGCTGCTGCAATGCTGAGGATAACGCTTTGCTTCTCCATGTTTTCTGGAGGCACAGAGCCAGGTCTCGGGAGGAAGGGCGTAAAGCACGGCGGAGACGCTCCCGGCACCGTGCAAAAGTCCCAGCAAAGAGAAGCTCCTCTGCAGAGGTTCAGGCCAGCCAAACCCTCCCACTGCACAGCTTCCTGTCTCCTAAGGAAGTCGTAAGTATTACGCTTTGTGCTTCTTGGCTTTCAGTAGCCACGGGAATACGGGTGAGAAGTCTGACATGAAATTTTTGTAACTGGATTATAACGATGTGAGACAAAATTTGGTTAAAACAGCATTACTTATTAATGGTGCTGTTCTCCAAATGTATTTAAAGTCGTTCCTTCCTTCAGCGTTTCCTCTTCAAGAGTGGGGTTGGAGAGGGGAAAGATTTGCCGAGTCTCTAGCCACTGAATATTGAATTGAGGACACTTAACATTAAAAAAAAAAGAAAAAGAAAAAAAAAATGTGGCCTTCAGCAATGATATTTCGCAGGGATGTGTTTGTTATGCAGTCTTTGCTCAGCTGAATTCAAACTTAATTCATCAGTCTTCATGTCCGAAAGTTTAGTCCTTTAGGGGTAAAAAAAGGGAATCAGACGAAGATAATGGAAATATTTACATTTAATGAGTTGGTGATTATTGGCAGGGGATGTTTTCTATGGGGATCCTTCTGAGATCGCTGTTGCTCTGGACTGACAAGCCCAGGGGCCAACTTGAGAGCTTGTGTGCAGCTCTCATTGATGCTAATGGGAACTGCAAGTGCAGCCGAGGGTAAAGTCAGTCTCAGTGCCTTGGGATGTTTTTCCATATACATGGAAAGAGATGATATAATACATGCCTTAGAACAGAGGGAGCAAAAACAGAGAGAAATCTTAGATAGCGATTGGTATGAAATCTTTTTTTCCCATGGCACATTTCCCCCTTGTTCCCAGTGGCTGCCAAGCAGAGGTGTGATGCTCTTTGATCAGTGTTAGCATCTGATGGGTGTTCTGGAGAGGGGCACTGCTACACAAGTCTTGAGGTAACGCAGAACCTGGTGCTTGTGTGTGGTTATGGAATGCTACCAGTGGCTTGAGTGGAGTCCTCTGAGCCCTGAAGTGATACAGAGTGGGGGACTGACTTTCTCCTCTTAAGCCCTGTCCTGAACTGGAAATAGCTCAGCCATACCTCAAATAGAGGAGATAGTCCCAGCAAGAGGAGGCTCTTTCTCTGCTCACCTGCACAGCTGGCATTTCAATCACAATACACAGAGATCCTATATGGATAAAGACAGGCCGCAAGCTGTCTCCCAGAGTCACAGATGCATACTCACTCTTGTCATAGACGCCCACTGAGTGTGTAGTGCACAATTGAGTCATTGCTTATAAAGCCATATAAGGCAGAGCACAAGTAGCAGAACCTGCATGCTGTGCTTACGTGTGCATCCCTACAGCAGCAAATGCAAAGAAGGAAGGACAAGAGCTTTCGTTGCCACCGGCCTGGGGTGGCACCCTGTGTCAACTCAGCAAGGTCAGGGTGAGTGAGTTAATAACGCAGGGAAACCAATGGCAGAAAGACCTTTACTCTGCAGTCCATTGGTGTCCTCTCTCTTCCCAGACAGAAGTATGCTCTCTTGGGACATTGTTTAAGAACACATTTATGCACTTGTTTAAATTGAAGCCCCTGGCGAAATGCTGAATAAGGTCTTTAAATATCACATGCTCAGAACCAGCAGGGAAAAATGGAATGGGAGCCTTCAGTCTTGTATAGCATTAGCAGACAGTCTGTGTCACACCCGTTGGCCTGGGGTTCCAACAAAAACCCTCCTGATGTGGGGAGATTCATCGTGATATCTCCAAAGGAAAGTGATGGTCCAGGGAGGGCTCTGGCACAGAGAAGAGACCCAGACAGGCAATACACAGACTTCCTTGAGGCAATGCTACAGCATTTCCAAATCTATTTTTTAAAATTATTTAATTTTAAGCCAGGTTTTATTCTACTTTCTTCTGAAAAATGGAAGCTTTCTGCGGTAAACTTTGTCTCCACACATTTTGTCCCTTCTTTTCTATTGGAATGACCACATCCAGCTCAGTTTACCTGCAATCTGAGGGATGAAGCACACAGAGGAGCACCCTGTCCACACGTCTACCTCACTGCTTCTTCCCTTCTTGCCTTTATGTGCAAGTTGGTGCATGCACGAGCACGCACACATGCAAAAACACCCCCAGAGCTCCCTGCTTCTTTTGAGCAATGAATTTCCAAGCTTCACACACTCGTTTTTTCCTTTAATCACACGCAGCCACAATAGGCACCTGTTGAGAAAGAGGATTGTGAGGCTGTGCCTCAGCATGCAGAGAAACTGGTAATAGGCTGCTGCTATATCTGAACATTAACAGCAACCCCCTGTCCTGCTGCAGACACCATTCTGCATTGGCACAGATGTATTCCATGCCCTTGTGCTTCTGGTTGAGCAGAGCAATATAAATACCTGCAGGGTGTGAGCTTAATTGCCTTTTGTTGTACCTGATGAAGATAACTGCACACAGCATCTACCTTCCCTGCCAGCTCCTTTGCGTTCACTGAAGCTTGTTTGCAATGTCACTAATTAACACAGGCTTGACCCAAATTTTCAAGGAGGCTCAGTGGGGTCTGGTTGTTCCAAGCAGCACTGCTTGTGCTGGCGTGCCTGCGGGGAGGTACAGGTGGGACAACGCAGTGCAGGGATGGTGACAGCATGTACAGGGGGGCAGGGGGAGGCTGATAGCACGCCTGCAGACTGCATTGCTCTTGCTCTCTGTTTTCCAGCCTGGGTTGTGGTTTCTATAGGAAAAGCTGCTCTTTTAACTGCTGCATGCCATGTTTCTGATGACAAACAGGGCTCTTCAGGAGCTGGAAGGCAAAGCTTTCCCTAAACATGAAAGCCTCGCTCTTTTGCTGATCCTCTCAGCCAGAGGACTGAATGTACCTCTGGTTATCACCCAATAAATCTGCAGCTCAGTGCTTAAGCAGAGGCAAGAGAATGTGCAGCCATGAGAGGAGCAAGCAGCACCCCGGATACCCAAAGGAAACAACATGATGCAAGCCCTCACCCCAAAGCTGTGCCAGACCAGCCTAAACCAAGGGGATGTGCTCACTGCAGCAGGCGGAGAGGAGTTTTGCACTGATGTCAGCTCAGGCAGAGGGTTAGCAGAGCCCAGCCCATCTCCCCATTGAAGGCAGCCCTATGGGCCCCACTCCCTGCAAGGCAGCAGGTGCTGCAGTGGCAGCTGTCAGCGGGGAGCAGGGGTCACTGCTGCAAGCTTTGTGTGCCTTTCATCGGCACAATGCGTGGACAGACAGAGGGAGGGAGACATTATGCACTCTTGAAAAAGAAATTAACTCTTGTTTTGCGACTCATTTCAAAGCAGAGAAAAAGACCCCAGAAAAACCCTCTGGCGATGAGCGAGGCTGCGCCGCGCTGCTCACTGATGGGCCTCGGTCCCCTTATGGCTGAGAAAATTTATAGTCCTGTCTCTCCTCGAGGCTGTTTGAAGCACAGTAAATGGACTCGTTCAGTTTAATTGGAAGACGAGCAGTGATTGCATTGTTGTAAGCCATTAGGCTGCACCGCCTCTTGATCTAGGAGCGCGCTCAGCATTGCGTTCTGAAGCATCAGGGCCTCGTTTCTGCTCATCCCTTCATCTTGCTTAAATAATGATTCGAAACACAAAAAACAACAAACCCAAACAGTAAATACATATCTTGGGTTCTCTTGAGGGCAGCAGTGTGTCTCACACCAAAATCATTGAGATTATTTAATTACTTATTAGAGGGGGGAGGGGGAAATGCCAAATGTTCACACATTGAAAATTAGATTCACAGGAGACCAGACTCTTTTGAGACACCCTAGAAAAATAAAAAGCCATTAGAATTCAACTGAACTCTGCAGCGCCTTCAGATGCAGCTCGTGGTTCCCATTTTGTGTGGCAGGAAAATGGAACCAGAGGTAGAGCCAAGGTCACCAGATGGGGGAATTTGCCTCTGCCCAGCACCTCAATGCTTGTCCTACCTCCTACCACAGGACAGAAACCACAGGCCAGGCCTTCCAGCCCTCACAAGGACATATTCCACTTCTATCCATGTTACCTCTTCCCAGAGTGCTGTTATTGCAGTGGTGGAGCTACAGAGGGGCACTGGGGGCTCACTGGGTAGATTTTGGGATGCGCTGACAGCAGCTGTTACTTCAGTGCAAGCAAAACAAGAGTTCCTAGCAGTCCTAGGACCCATGGGTTGAAATGCCAAGAAATAGGTGGATTTCTTGGCTGGGAAGAGCTAAAGGCTGTTTGGTTTGGACTGGGAACAGAGGTGAGGGAGATGCACATGCCCACCCCCACACTCCCACCTCTGGAGTCAGGGAGTGCTTCACGTGGTGTTTTTATGCCTGTAAATGAAACGTAGCCAAAAGGTGGCTGCCTCCCAGTCAGGGTTCAGGTATAACACTAGCCAGAATCTTTAGAAAAAATCTGGGAAGCCACATCCCTCGTGTCTTTGGGTGCAAAAGAGAGCAGGGCCGGACCCCCCGCTCTGTTACACTTCTTTGACATCTCTGGAGTAAACTTATTCTGGAATAAACAAGAGCTGGCAGAGAAATGGCAAAGAGCAGCACCTGTGTTGCAAACCCCGGGGCGTGGAGGAGGCTGCACAGGGTGCAGATGTGCCAGGTCTGTGTTTGTCCTTAATGCTTCCCATCACAAGGGCAGGCATTAACACTCGTGTAGCCTCGCTGACCGGTGCTGGACTGGCTCTGGTAGATGCCAGTAGAGATAAAACTGAAGAGATAAGACGTTCAGATGATGGAAGTGCCCTGGTGGTGCCAGCTGACAGCCCCAGCTAAGGCAGCCAGCAAAGCTGTAGGGTCCTCAGCTTCAGTAGCCCACCAAAACCATCATCCCCTTCCCGTAGGTTTCCAATGCAGCCAAAGTGGGGAAATGTTGTTTCCCCCTCAGCTTTATTTTTGACTTCTTTGCTCGAGTTCCTTTTGCCACTTTCACGTACCCGTGGGCCACCATGAAACCCAAGGGGATTGAGTGCAAGCCACGATTTTCCAGCACAAGCCATCAGCCCCCAGGAGCTGTCTGGGCAGCCTAATGTAAAGCAGAAGGAAACAAAAATAAGGAATAATAAGTGAGAGAAGCGAGCAGACAAAAAGCAGTTGTGACATTTACGTAGCAGAGTCAAGTGAACAGTTGGCAGTGTGGATTGAAGAGAGGGTTTATGTTTTTTTTATGTAATTTGAGACTCTAATGATGGACTTATGTTGCCCGCTCTTCCTTTTTTCTTACACCTTACCTACTAAAGGAGGAGTTCTTGATGGGTAAGTGGATGCTATCCGCAAGACACCAGGGAATTTATTAGAGGTCACTTGAGCACATTAGCTATATCTTCTTCAGGGGGAAAAAAGCACACAAAGAAGTGTCTGTATACCTTTTATTTCCAGAGGGATTTTTCTTTATTCCCCTTCTCCTTTTTTTTTTTCTTCTTTTTTCCCCCCCTTTCTTAGTTTTTATTTTCAAAGCGCTAAGCTTGTTTATTTGCCAGTTTGTACAGAAGCCCTTCATTTGATTTGCTTTGATTTTTCTTCACCTATTTTTGTAACATTCGTTCAGAAATTCACTTAATTAAGCATTTGTTTTATTTTTGTTTTCCTTCCAAGGATTAGAAAGTTTTGGTTTGTTTTTTTTTTTTTTTAATATATATTCCCTTCCATTCTCGTTTCTTCTTTTGCCCTCCCCCTTTTAGGTTAAATAAGGGCTTTTTCCTCTGTTACACCTTTTTTTATTTAGTTAGCCTGTTACTTTGATTCCTTGGTTGCCCGTTTACTTTGTTGAACTCTTTCATTTAACATGGATCGCATGCTGATACTCTTTGCATGATCTCTAGATCTTCCCGTTATCATAGCAGGGGGAAAAGGAGTTTCTTCTTACTGTGGATTTCTTTCAGGGATATGTGCTTTTGTTTTCTTCTCTTTCTTCTTTTTCTTTCTTTCTTTCTTACTTTGTTTCTTTCCTTTTGTTTCAGTGCATCATGATGGTAAAATTTCTGGGTTTATTTAAAACATAAAATAAAAGCAAAGTAAAACCAAGAGCAACCCTCCTCAATAAAACGTTCAAACAATGCCAAATGGCTTTTTTGCTTTCAGATCTCTCAGTCAGGGTCTTCTGCTGACCTCTTTACCAAAACAGACAGCCCGCCTGGCCGCCTAACCAGCCAGAACGGAGAGTGTCATGAATATGACTCAGGAAACGACACTTCTTCCCCTCCCTCCACTCAAACGAGCTCATCCAGGTCAAAGGACAGCCAGGAGAAACGAAGCGTAGCCCACGATGGCTTTGGCCATGCCTTCTCATCCAGGAAGCCCAAAGTGGCCAACGGTGATAACAGCTCTGATTCAGGAAATTCCTTCACCAGTTGCTTTTCCCAGACCAAGGCAACGGCTTCGGAAAATCTGTCTCCAGATCCCCAGGGACAAGACGAAAGGTCAGTGATTATCAGCAGCTGATGCTGGTATTTGTTGCCCTGTATCTCCCGCTCGCATTCCCGATGCACCGGTGAGCTGGCAGGGAGGTTTTTGTGGTCTGGAGGTGGTTAGATCTCAATCAGACCTTGCCAGTCTGGAGTTCAGAGCCCACAGTGAGCAGTGCTGGAGCCTGAGGAGGAAGATGAAAACACAGCCACAGGTCATCATCAGGAGAAAGGAGTAGGTGCCAGCTCCATCTCTGCCTCCCTTACCCGGGATGTGCCAGGTGGTGGTGGGGATGAAGGAGCAGAAGCATGGCAGCTGGTACCTAAAGCTGTGCTGGGGCAGTGGTGGTTGGGAGCAATTCCACCTCAGGTCTTAAATGCCAAATGTTAGAGCCAGGGGAGTTGGTATTAGGAAGAACAAGTCCTGAATTTTCATTTGGAGGGTAAGATGTTGAGGCTGTACATACTTCTCATGCTGTGACTCCAGTGGGATAACTCTGCCTTCATATGGGTGGAGCTGGGATTGCAGCTGGTCTTTACTGTTGGGAAGCTGACCCCAATTCACATCCATGGCTCTTCTGGAAGTACAGGGATTCCCACAGCCCAATCCAAAGGCAATAGGACACTCCTGCTCGCTCTGCTCCTGGAGCACAGCCTTGCCACGCTTTCCTTGCTCTTTACCCCCAACGCCTGCAAGGCATGGGGCAGAGGAGCTGACAGCCCAAATATACATTTGCAGAGGATGCCTGTCCTCGTGTCTCAGCTGTTCAGAGGAGAAGAAGCGCAGTGTCCCCCCGTCGCCAGCCCGCAGCTCCCCGCTCAGGCCGTGCCCCCGCAGCGAGTCGTGCAGCAGCACAGGACGCTCCTCCCCTGGCTCCAGCTGCTCCTCACCCCGCAGGGCCTCCCCCAGGTACTCCCGCAGCAGGTCCTGCTCTTCAGGGAAGAGGTAAGGCCAGCACAAATGGCTCTCTCCATCACTCTGGGCAGTCTCTGGCTCTTGCAGGCTGGCGGACTCCTTGGGGACGGGAGTGAGACTTTGTGTGGGTGCCAGGGAACCACGTGGCCCTTGAGATATGGGGCATCTCTCCCCGCCATGAGCCTGGATGAGTGGAAGTCTGGTACAACCTCACCCTCCAGCATCTTTAGCTCTTATGTTTCTTCCCTAGCCCCAGGTCTTCTTCACGGTCCCCCAGCTATTCCTCTAAATCCTGCAAAAAAAGCCCTGGAAGCAGGAGCTCAAAGACTCGCCGAAGCCCGAGTTACTCCCATTACAGCCCTACGAGGTATGACTGTCCCTACATTGATATCTGCTGCCTCATGCTTTTCCATTGCCTCCATCACTTGCTTGTACTCCAGCCTACTTTCTGGTTCCTTCTGCCAGCTCCAAACTGCCCCCTCAGCTTCCAGGAGGGAGCAGGGAGAAATGGAGCATGGCACATGTCCGAGCATTATACTGATCTGCAATCCAGTGGAAATACCTTCCCATTTATTGCCTCAGAGCAATCAGTGCAGCAGGGAAAGATGCTCTGCTCTTCCAAGCTGCAGCTCTGCCAAAGAGGTTTCAGACCCTGAGAAGTGTCCCTGCTGCATGGGCAGGAGCCAGGTACCCTCATGCTGGCACTCACAGAGCCATGCATGGGGAAACAGCCCAGGTAACTCTGCTCCACACCCTGTGGAAAACACACATCTCACAGCTCAGCTCTAGAGATGCCTTTGGGCAGTATTTTCTGGTAACATCTCTGCTTTTGAGCATGCTGTGAGCATTTGGCACCCTTAAAATGTTACACTCACAGGACCTGATTCTGCAAGCTGTGACAGCCCCTGTTCTGGTGCAGGAGAACATTTCCTGCATGCAAGGATCAGGCCCTTGACCTGTAACGTGTTGCTTTGCAGATGGAATTGAGAAAGGAACGGGGCGGATGAAGTCATCTACCCTCCACAGCAGGGCCTGTGCTGACGTGCACAGGGAATTAACAAAAGAGAAAACCATAGCAACCCCAGCACTCCTTCTGGTGAGCGGTGCACAGCCCTGCAGAGCTACCTGGGGCCCTCTGCACACGTGGGGCCTGCTGGCAGGGCTGTGCTCGCCTGCTCTTGCAGCACAGCCAGCAACAGCAGCTTTAGCAGCGCTGTGCAAATACCGAGTGCATCCACAAAAGGATGGGGAAGCCATTTGGCTTAGCAATGCAGGGCTGCTGGGAGACGCTGCTGAAACCTCCCTGCAGCCTACAATTGCTGGGTGTCCGTCTGTCAGGCTACTGAGTGTCCCACTGTCCAGCGAAGCGCAAGGCTGATGCCACCCAAATACCGAGCAGAGCGCTTTCCACTCAACTGGGTCATTGCCTTTGTGTTCAAACCCCATCCAGCCGATTTTTGCACCTGCAAAAGCCCAGCGGTGATGATTTTCAATCTGGCCCTTCCCTTAGGGACCGTGAGCACAAGCACAGCTCCAGTGAGAAGGAGTCACACCGGCAGCGGGACCGGCAGCGCCGGCGCTCCTATTCCCCCCTGAGGAAGCGCAGGAGGGACTCCCCCAGCCACCTGGAGGCCCGGCGCATCACCAGGTATGGAGACATCACACCTGGAGCACTATGGGCTGCTTTCTGTCCCCAGCCATCTCTGGTGCAGGTTGCTCCAGGAGCACAATGTTTTCCCTAACCCTAACTCTGCCTCCCCTCCAGCTGGGGGATCTGCAGCTGGAAGCAGAAGGAGGATGCAGGGGTTTCATTTACAACCACAGAAGAAAAAGGGCAGATAAATCAGAGCAGGGATTCACCCACCCATCAAGTACAAGGTGCAGAAGGATTTTGCTTCACCCTTTCCCATGGCAGATGTCCCATGCTATAGACAGTCAAGTTTGACTCTAATTCTCAAGCTGAGGGCTTTTTGGGAAAACATCAGGCAGAGCCTCAGACTTGATGGATGGCGGCCGTGGGGGTGGTTGGCTGGAATCCCAACGCCTACCAGCTACCTGCAAATAAAACCAGACGAATCTGAGAGGTGTCATGCGGAGTAAACAACATATTTTGAAGATCTTGGCAATAAATCTGTCCTTGCGTTCCTGGTAATTCTGCATCTCTCTGTCCCCATAGCGCCCGCAAACGTCCCATCCCCTACTACAGGCCCAGCCCGTCCTCCTCCAGCAGCGCCAGCAGCTATTCCTCCTGGTACAGCAGTCTCAGCCGCTCCCCCAGCCGGAGCAGGAGCTACTCCAGCCACCGGTCGAGCCGCAGCCGCAGCTGGAGCAGCAGCAGTGCAGAGAGCAGGAGCCGCAGCAGGAGCTCAGGCCCCAGGAGCAGCCGCAGCCGGAGCAGGAGCTGTGACTCAGGAGGCAGCTCCGACAGCCTGCGTCGCTAAGGAGTGCCGCCGGCATCACTGAATTCCTTGCGTTCTCCACATCCTTCCCACCTACTTGGCCATCGATCGCAATCACCCCCGATACTGATGTGACAGCAGCACTGTGTCCCCTTTTCTCATTACAGATGGAGTAAGAGCCCTCATGCTCCTGGAACAGCCCCTCTGCTGCCTTGCAGGGAGGGTGGATCCATGCAGCTCCCCCAGCCAGAGCTGGGGCTGGAAGAGGGGCCAGTGCCCTACAGAGGCCCTGCAGGCCCTACAGGGTCCATCCTCCTGACATCCCCATCTCCCCATCGCTGCCACTCTGCGACAGCTGCCAGCTGCTCCAAAGGAAGAAGATTTTGCCCTTCTCTTGCCAAAAGCGGGAGCCAGTGAATTAATTCCCTCTGGAGGAAGAGACACATTTAGGGAGGAATTTGCTGGGAAGCTTTGGTGATGAGTGGACGTGACCTGTCCCCCTCAAGGCAAATATCAGGTCCCTGATATTGGATCTCTCCTCCCGAGATTCTGCCCACTCTGCAGCAGGTCTCTGCCATGAGCATATTTATTTATTTCCATACGCCCAACTCTGCTATAAATAGAAGGCTAGAAATCCCTCCTGACATTAATTTCTGGGGGGGAAAAAAGCTATTCCCCCTCTCTTTCTCCTGCCCTTTCCTAACAGGGTGTTACACATCCACCTTTCACAGGGCTGCTCTGTTCCCCTCCATCAGTGTGATCGCTGAGAGGAGACACAGCAGAGGGGAGTCAGTGCTGCAGAGTGAGCTGGGGCTGCACGGCTCGCATCTCAGAGACCCCCAACACCCCTCCCCCCAAAATCGCCTGTTTTTTTCCCAGGATCTGGGAGGGCCCTGCCTGCCTGGGCGGCCCTGCGGTTTTGTCTCCCTGCCAGGCTTGCCAGCCCAGCTGCCTGTGCAATTACTGTGTTTTGCAGAGCAACAAAGGCTTCTCCTAGCACGGGCTGAGCCGGTGCTGAGGATTTTCTTTCTCTTACAACACCTGGGTGCTTAGAGACGCTAATTTAGGTCTAAGACTTCCCTCCCTCCCTTTTTCCATCCCCTCCCCTTCCATCCTGCGTGATCATTAACGAGTTTGGGCTTAATGAGTCAAGGAGGTGTGTCATTGAAGTGTCACAGGAAAGGGCTAAGGGCAGCCAGCATCTGCCGGAGGGGGAGAGGGGTGGAAGGAAAGGCAAACCCACAGCCAGAGAGTTACCCACTTCTCCCACTGGCAGCAAGTAAAGCTGTGAGCGAGGTAAGGTCAAACACAACCTGGATGATTGCCTTATCGAGCATATGAACGTGTTATCAGTTGGAAAACACAGCAGGAAGGTTTATACTTCTGTGTAGCTGATGCAAGGGGAAATTTGATAACAGGGGCCCTTTTTCCCGTCTCCTTCTCACTGCAAACCCCTCAGGCTGTGGTTGAGAATTACAGATGAGGTGTTCTGGCAGCGGGTGCTGCTGCCTTCCCCCCACCCCAGCCCCACAGCAGCCCCTGGCTTCTTTGGTGGGGAGCACCCTTCTTGTAAAGGGCTGAGAACCCCATGCTTCTTCCTTAGGGAGTCCCTCCCAGTTTGGCATTGTCACCCTGTAGCACTCCATGAAAGGTCTGATCTCAGCGACCAGAGGCCAAATCCCAAATCTGTGGGTCTCTTCATGCCCCTCCGTGCCCCCAAATGCCGGCATGCACCTGTAGCAGCGAGCCGGATGGACAACAGCTGGGAAAGCAAAGGAGCTTTGTGCAAGCAGTGCAAACAGTCCAACTATATTGAGCCGAGTTCCTGGTGGGATGGAGAACAAACACAGTGCTGGAGGCAGCAGCACACGCTGGCTATGGGACAAAGAGGTGCCACATGGCTCTGGTACCCATCCACCTGCACGGCCGGTGGCAGCTGAAGGCTCTCCGGCATCGGAGCAAAACCTCTTTATTTATTTATTAATTATTTATTGACACACTTATTTATTATCAGTCGCGTTCTGTTTCTAATGTCTATGGTCGGGACGGACGCGAGCGGTCGCCGTCAGCAGTATTTATTTATTTATTCTGGAGGGCAAAGGAAGGAGCGAGAAGTTATCGGGGCTCTCTGTGCTTGTTTGGTCCTCCCCATCGCATGGAGGTTCCCAGTGCTGGCCGTGCACTGGCAGGAGGAAGGACTTCCCCGCGTTGTTTTGCATTGTGATCCACCCATGGAAAATCTGAGGTTGGGCCGTGAGAGCACGGGAGGTGCCTGCAAATCCAGCCCTGTGACAGCACTAACTGCGTCTGTGTGTGCGTGTGTGTGTGTATTATGTTTCCTCAGTGGTATTTCTCTCTTTATTTTTTAACTTATTTAAGGTTTTTGGTACAACACACATCATCGCCTGTCCTGTCAGTGGGTTTTCTGTCACTTTGCAAGAAGCCTGTGAGCTTTTCTGTCTCTGTGCCTTTTGCCAGTGCTTCTTTTGTTGTATGCTCACTCACTCGTTGCTTTTATGGGATTTCCACTCCATGACCAGCGTCTCAGGTTGCTGTTGTTTGCATGGAGTAGCTTCTGCCCTGGGGCAGTTCGGCCTTTTGGGTGAACACAAATCGCTGCTCATTGGCACTGGGGCTGCACACCAAGAGCTTTGAGGCAGTGTGTTGGCCGCCTCTCAGAAGTGCCATCTGAGAGAGTTTTCTTTCTTCATCCTTCCTGCCCGTTGTGTTGTTTCCATCCCAAATGCCCTGGTTGCCTTTCCACAGCAGAGCACATGACGCAGTGTCCCCCCCTGGGATGCTTCCCGCTCACTCAACCCCCAGGCTCCCTCCTTTCCCACCCCACACACCAGGTCAGGCTGCAGCAAACCCAGCCCAGCCCCTGAAGTGTTGCTGCAAAGTGCAGAGGAAGGATATTTCACAGAATCACAGAATTGTAGGGGTTGGAAGGGACCTCTAGAGATCATCGAGTCCAACCCCTCTGCCAAAGCAGGTTCCCTACAGCAGGTATTTCAATGCACTGTTGTGTCATTCCATTTGGCCGCGGGTTGCGGCGCTCAGCTGTGCTCTGCTTTATGTTGACCGTAACTTTTCTCAATGTTTCTGTTGTTTTGGGTGACTGAAGTTGTACCAAACCCATCTGCAATGGCCAATCGATGTTATTTTGCTATGCATTGTACATAGATCGAAAAGGCTGAGAGGACTTGGCCTCTTATTTAATATTTATTTCTCCTATTTATTGAGCATTACTTAGGAAAGCTGTTCGAGTCTCACCGTTGGCTCCATGGGATATTTGAGAAAGGGACAATTTTAGGTGCCAGACTGAAGTCTTTAATGTCCAGCAGGGTTGTGTTATCTGTGTGATAGAGGATGAACAAATCCTGTGACTTTTGCAGCTACCTGGAAGTCTGTGTGTGACCAGGATGATCTCTGAAGCACTGCAACATCCACTGCTGTAGCAACAGCTCTGCGATAAAGCAGCCTCAATTTTGGACTGTTGTAGAAAACAGCACCTTGAGCCCCATCCAGGGAATGGAGAGATTTAGAACAAAAGCCCAGACAGGAGAAAAGCTGCCAGGGAAACCATGTCCCTGTTTTCTCTGCTGGTCAATTCCTTACCAAATCATACCGGCACATCTGTTCATTCGACTTCACTGTAAAACTACCTTTGCTCTCCATGGAAATGCATACTGTATTCTTTAGTCTTCCTGGGGTATTCGAGTCGTTAGCCTGTTTAGAAAAGGGTTCCAATAAAAGTTCAGATGATATCTGGTTCACATCGCAGCCTGGTTTCTCGTGTTCCTTTTGGATGGGGCTTGGTGCAGTGGGATATTTTGGGTTGTTTCAGCTGCTGGGTGCAGCAGGGCATGTGCTTGCGCTCTCAGCTGCTGGGGATGAGGTCCTTGGGGCACGGGCTGAAGCTGAACTGTTGTGAGCTCAGATTCCTGCCAGCTGGGTCAGGCTTTCGCTGCCCTTTGCCGTGCGATTTGGGTCATCCTCAGCTCACAGACAGCGCAAGCCAGTAGTGTAGATTTCACACCAATTTGGGGGCGATGGGGATGCTCTGTGTCCCCTGATAGTACCAGCCACCAAGTCCTGCTGGCAGCTGAGATGTGCACCTGGGAAGGTTCTGGGCACAGCACAGACATGGGGCAGTGTCCCCGGGTCGCTTGGCAGACAGGAGGGCTCTGCGCTCCCCAGAGCTGACGTGGCGGTGCTGGCAACTGTGGGAGGTGACTGGAAGATTTGGAGTGACAACAGGAGCTAAATTGGGATCCCTGGAGAGGGGCGTGTGACTAATGGGGATAAGCAAGGCGACAAGATGGATTCCTGGCCTGGGAGGGAGGATGGCCTGGAGCTACTTGGGAAACATGGGACTGGAGATCTCGGGGTGAAATGTGGCCGGGATGGAAGTGGCCACGGGGCTGTCCCAAACCATGTGCTGGTGTCACCCCTGGAATAGCTGGTGTCACTTCGGGTGATGGGAGCGCTCAATCAGGAAAGGCAGAAGATAGAGGAGGACACTTCAGCCTTTGCTGACTGCTGCTTCTCAGCTCCTCCCCGCATCTCCAGTCATACCCCAGTCCCCAGGGAGACCCCACGATGCCTGGCTGTGTCTCCCCACACACACCAGTGAAGGAGATGAGGAATAAGAGATGCTCCCCATGCAGGCAAAGGCAGCTCCCTGTCCAGCAGTGCCACGTCGCTGCTCCATGATTAATACCCTCTGAGCGACCAGCAGCCGCATCGCAGCGTGGCCCACAACGCATTACGGCCTTCCTGCTGCAATTTATTCCAGCAAGTCCATTAGAGAGATTGCAGATGCTGAAGAAAGCAAGGTAGAGACAGGAGGGAGCGAGGAAGCAGTGCAGCATCCGGTGCATCATTGCTGACACTCATCGGCATGCCGGGACCCCTGTGCAGGAACCCTGCTGCCACCAGGCACCCCAGTGCCACCAGCGCCAGGTACCCCGCCGCACCCCATCCCCTGCAGCCCTGTAATTAGCCCCGCGCGGCTGTGATTACGCCTCGCCCTGCTGCAGCGCAGCCAGGCACGCGATGAGGAGGAGGAGGAGAAGGAGGAGGGCGAGGATGGGGCCACGTAGGGTCCCACTCCCACACCAATGATTCTGGGGCATTGCTCCGGGCCCAGCCCCAGGCATCAGCCCACAATCCCAGCCACTTTTTGCTGGTGACGCATCTCCGGGTGCAGCGGGTGTACAGTGCGGGGCCCGGCCCCACCTGGGGTATTTTTGATGGATGACACAGGGGTGCAGGCAGCCCACCCTGAGCTCCCCGGTTATTTTTAGGCAGGTGCCGAGAACCCTGCGCCAGCCGGGATCCTCAGGCCGGCGCGAGAGGTCAGCTGCACAGCCCAGATTCTCCACGGCTGTTTCATCCTCTCCAAAATACTCGGCTGACAGGGCAGGAATTGCAAAACACAGCCTCCCCCCCCCGCAGCGTATAAATAGCGCTCGCCCGGCGGTGGAAGGTTGCAGAAGTTTCTCGGCTCCGAGCTCAGGCATTTATTGCGGCTCTCGCCCAGGAGCGGTGGGGACACGGCGCAGTGATTGTGGGAGCAAGAGGGGAGAGATAAGCTTTTAATCTCGGGATATTCGGTTTGATTTTTTTTTTTTTCTCCCTCTCTGGACAAGAAGTTTTATTTTCCTCCGCCCGATCCCTGGGACCGAAGCCAACCAGGAAGCGTTTTCTTGCAGCCCACACCGTCCTCCCCACACTTGCTTTCCAAGCTCCGGATGCTTCAGCCCTGCTGAGCCTCTTCCACCCATCGCGCTCTGCCCGGTGCCGGGCTCCCACCCAAACCCCCGTGCGTGGATGCGCCTGCCCTGGGCCAGGCTCCCCGGGGTATTCCGCAGCATTTGAGGCTCCACGAGGAGCACAGAGCCATGGCCGACAGCCAGCTGCCCTTCTCCTGCCATTACCCCGGCCGGCGGAGCCTCCGCGACCCATTCCGAGAGCCCGGTTTGACCTCGCGCCTCCTGGACGATGATTTCGGCCTCTCGCCCTTCCCTGGGGACCTGACAGCAGACTGGCCCGACTGGGCTCGGCCCCGGCTCACCCCCACCTGGCCGGGTCCCCTGCGTGCCCGCGCCTCCGCCATGACCCCCGGCTACAGCACCCGCTTTGGGGGGTACCCAGAGAGCCGCAGCCCCGCGCCCACCTCCCGTGAGCCCTGGAAGGTGTGCGTCAACGTGCACAGCTTCAAGCCTGAGGAGCTGACGGTCAAAACCAAGGATGGATACGTCGAGGTGTCAGGTGAGGGCTGGGGCGCAGGGTGTGGGATGGGGCTCGGGTGGCATGCTCAGTGCTGATGCTTCCTTTGGGGTGAATCTCTGGGATTTGTGTTCCAGCTGGCACTCGGCTGTGAGCTGCCGAGAGGGGCCCCAGCCTGGCTGGGTTAATTATAGCTGGCGAGGACGGAGCTGAGGGAGATTCCCTTTAAAGGGGCCGAGAGTGAGGCAGCCCAAAGCACCTCCCAGAGCTCCAGCGCTGCACCCTGGCCAGAGCACCTCCTGGGGCTGCCAGCGCTGTGCCAGGCCACAGCACTTCTTCCAGGGGCTGATTTGGGGGGACACTGTGGGTTGGAGGGATATGGGAGGCCTCAGAGCTTAAGCCCCATCTTGATGAGGCTCACACACAGCCCAACAGCACAGCAGAGCATGGGGACAGGATCCAAAGATTTGATCATGTCTGATGGCTCCTTCTTAAGCCTTGGCTCCTGGCAGCAAGCAGGGCTCAGGCTCCATGGGAAGTAAAGGTGTCTGGCGGGGAAAGCAGCTCTTCCTCCTCCTCCTCCTCCAACCAGTGCAGCCTCACAGGCCAGGCACTCAGTGCTGTTCCTTGTTGGATGTGGTGTATCCCTCCTCACGTGGGAGACACTCACAGAGGGAAGGAAAACATCTGGTTTGGAAGAGCTCCTGGGGTTTGTTTGTTTTGCTTGTTGGGTTGAGCCCTGAGCCCAGGGCGGCGGTGACACGCCTTTGTTCCCCCCCCAGGCAAACACGAGGAGCAGCAGGTGGAAGGAGGCATCGTCTCCAAGAACTTCACCAAGAAAATTCAGTAGGTATCACCCTGCCCCGGGGCGTCCTCCCACGAGCACAGCCCTATCCCCATGACATGCGATAGCTGCAGCCCTGCTTTTCCCATCCCAAAACCAGCCCTGTGGGCTCCTCCGGCCCGGATATGAAAGTAGAAAGGGGTGCAAAGCACCGTGCTCCTATCCCATCACCAGCCCCAAAATACACCAGTCCCTGGTGTGCAGCTACACGTGCACCCGCATCCACATCCGAGTGATGTCAGTCTGATCGCTATCGCGCTGACTCACCCCAGCAACAACAACAGCAGGGAGGGAAGGCGAGCCCAACTCCGAGGGCAAAGCACAGCGGTGCAGCAGCAGCTCTGCAGCTTCGCTTTACCAAAACCTCCCAGCAAAGCCGCGTGCGCAGCGGGTGGGAGCCAGCAGCCGGGCTCCTTTTATGGGCAAGGCACGGGTGCGACGCAGCAGCCAGGCGAGCGCGGGCGGCAGCGACGTCCCATCAAACACATCTGCCACGGAGATTAAACAGAGCACCAGGCAGCCCAGAGGCCTCTTTAATGTCCCTGTGCATTCCCAGGGGCTGCAGTAGTAACACGAGTGGGAGCATTGAGCCCGGCCGGGGGTCTTGCAGGGCAATCTCAGAAGGCTGCGAGCCACATGGCTGCACCATCTCCTAACCCCACACATCTCTCTGTCCCCCTCCAGGCTGCCCTATGAGGTGGACCCCATCACTGTCTTCGCCTCCTTGTCGCCGGAGGGGCTGCTGATCATCGAGGCTCCCCAGATCCCCCCCTACCAGCAGTACGGCGAGGGCAGCTGCAGCAGCGACATCCCGTTGGAGAACCCAGAGGCCACCTGTGCCTGAGGGCCCCTGTGCCCCTTCTCCATTCCCCCGACCCTATTCCCCCCCAGCCCCGCTCCCTGGGCCCCAGCGGGGTGGCCCCGGGGCACGGCCTCTCCCGCCCCCTGGGAGCAGCTGCCCCACAGTGGTCTGACACTCTGGTAGAGGCTTTGCATCCATCAGACCCAGCAGAACGGGTGTCTTCGTTACGGTTCTTTTTATGCTGCAAGGTGAGCAGATGGGATGTTTGTAACAATAGTGAAAAAGTGCCCTTTTCTCTTCTTAAGTTGAAGTGGAATCCCGTGGTCCTGCGTCTTCTTCTTCTCTGTTTTTGGTTTTGTTTTGAACTCCATCTCCACGCCGGCCCCTTGGCAGCCTGCAGACATGCAGCCGGCAGTGGGGCCAATGGCACAGCCCTGTCCCAGACAGACAAACCCCCACCAGACCTGCTGAGAAGTGTAAACTGTCTGCATGTTTTGTTTTTGTTTTTGTTTTTGTTTCCTTTTTCCAAAAAGAACTTGTGATTTTACTTATCAGACTTGAGGAATAAAGATGAGTTGATGTTCTTAGCCTCTGCTGATCTTGGCTGGGAGGTGAGGGTAGGGGGGCTGGGGATGCTCTAGACACTCTTTGCCCTCCGTATGGGCTCTGTGCCCTTTTCCTGGCTGGGGACACAAAGCAGCCCTCTGAGACAGGGAAGCTGTGTTTGTCCTCGCACCATCCGCACTCACATCTCCCCCCACCAGCTCCTGGCTGCAGCCCAACCCTGCAACCCAATGCCCAGGCACAGCAAAGTGGTGATGCCAAAAGGAGCAGACACCCAGTTTTCCATGTCAGTGGGACCTTGGAGTTAAAAATACAGCTCACATGTTGCACTT